TTTGTAATGCCATCCTCTTCGGGTCCTCTAACCAACAATCATTTGTTTCCCCCTTCACTTTTGGACACGACATTCTCAGTGTGGTGTGACAAGGGTATAGGACAGTTTAAACATTTATATGTGGATGGTGTGTTCGATAGTTTTCCCAATTTGTCTTCTCGTTATAATCTCCCTATTACCCATTTGTTTCGCTATTTTCAAATTCGAAATTTTGTTGCCAAGTGTTTCCCGAATTTCCCCTTTTTACCTCCAGAACAGCGGTGGGAAACTATGTTAAATTTTATTCCTCATCACAGAGGAACCATTTCGAAACTTTATGATGCTATTCTGTCTCTTAGTAACCACTCTAAGGTTAAGCTTAGGGATATATGGGAAGGAGAACTAGGAATTGGAATACATGAGGAGTCTTGGGAACAGGCTATAGCAAGGGTACGATCTTCCACCTCCTGCGCTCGTCTTGGACTTATCCAATTTAAGGTCATTCATAGGGTGCATTTCTCTAAGTCTAGACTTTCTGAACTGTATCCGGAAGTGGAAAATAAATGTGATAAATGCCAGGGTTCTCCTTGTCACCTTAGCCACATGTTTTTTTTGTGTCCTGAGTTACAACGTTTCTGGACAGGGTATTTTGCTATTATGTCAACTGTTCTTGGGGTAACTCTTCATCCTTGTCCTCTGATTGCGGTATTCGGGATTCCTGACCGCTCACTTATACTGGACTCCACACAAAAGGATATCATTGCCTTCACATCCTTATTAGCGAGACGTTTGATATTGTTACATTGGAAGTCTGCTAAGTGTCCTACTGTTTCCCAGTGGCTTAAAGATGTCATGTTTTTTTTAAAACTTGAAAAAATTAAATATACGCTGAGAGGGTGCACGGCCAGTTTTTTTCATAAGTGGCAACCCTTTATCTCTTATTTTACTAGTTTAGAGGTATTACCTGTTTAATTGTACTTCTGTTATTGTTATATTCCGGTAATATGTTTGACGGTTGTGTTGATCTGCGTGGGACGGGGGGGGGGGGGGGGGGGCGGCTTTGTTTTTTTGTTTTTTTTGGTATGGTTTTTTTGTCTAATTGTCTTGTCCCCCCCCTTTTTTTTTTGTTTTTTTTTTTGTTGTTCTGTCTGATTGTTGTTATTTACCTAGAAAAAATGAAGAATGGTTAATTGTATTTTGGTAATTGCAAGTACTGTTGTTTTCTTCTTTCAATAAAAATATAATAATAAAAAAAAAAAAAAAAAAAAAAAAAACATTTCCCAGAATACAGCGCAGTATTTTCAAAAGGATGGCGGATCAGGAGCCGGCAGCAGCTACTTTGGGGCAAATTTCCAGTTTAAATGTAAGGCAACTAATTGTAGCTATTGGGCTGATATCTATAATGGTTTTTTTATCCAAAGCAGTTATCTATGGTTGGTTAGTTGCAGCTTCGTTGGCTAACAGGTTGTAACTCTCTTACATATTTAATTCAACCAATATATACACAATTTAAAAGGTAAAATGCTCGTTCTACACCTATACTGAAACTTATACGTATGAAATATAACTTTACCTCGTTGCCGCCATGGTCACATGAGGTAAGTCTGTTGCACCGTTTTGTTTGACCAAGGAAGGACAGTGTCCTCGACATTTAGAAGCACCCTTTGTTTACAATTTGTCCTGCTTCCAATACTTCCTGGTTCTAGAGCAAATCATATTTGAGCCCATACGTTTTCCAAGTTTGAGCAGGCATTTGTAATTTGACGTCGGTCGGCAAAGCGCAGCAGCGTTACGGAAAGAACGTTAACCAGTAACATTTAGAACAGCGTTAGGCAGTGGCCTTGCTTTGCAGATTTAGCGTGTTCTCCTCATGCATGTGTGGGTTTTCTCCAGGTGGTTTCCTCCCACTCTACATTGTCCCTAGGTGTCAGTGAGAGTGTGATTGGTTGGTTCTCCCTGTGTGTCCCTGTGATGGACTGGAGACCTGTCTAGGGTGTCCCCCACCTCTCACTCGATTATTTCTAGAGATAGACACCAGCTCCCTTCAAACCCGATTTAGAGGATGAACGAGTGAATGTGTGAGAATACAGGTTTATTACTTCAGTCCACCATAAGAAAAGCTGAGCCAGAAAGAAACTAAAGCCTCTCTAACTGCTCAGCACAGATGTGTCAGCTGGTCACTCGGTCTGTTTCTCAGCCAAATGCATCTAAACACATCTCTGAGCATTCCTGACAGGATCAGTGGGCCAGGTACCAAAGCGCTGGTACGCAGCGAAGGAGGGAGAATGAGAGATAAAAACATGAGTCAGAGCCAGCGTGCAACACCGCCAACTGCTTTGCACGTCTCACGCTGCATGCTTGAGCAGATTTGGACTGATGGAAGATAAAGGCTCTTTGATAGGCTGCAGGTGTGCTGCTTTAATGAGCACTACCCCCCATCTCTAAACCATACGGTCGATGCACATCTGTTATTCAGAGCTCTGCAGCATCTTTAACCTTGCCTTGCAGCCTGACTGTCATTCACCACACACACACACACACACACTTGAGGAGCAAAAGTGAGTCAGTGAAATGAAGCAATTCAGTGCGACTCAACAAATCCATCCGAGTTTTCTAAAAGAACATAATTCCAAAAAAGATTCAAACAAACAAACTTACTTTGGTCTGTTCACAGTCTCTCAAGACTCACACAGGAGTGAAGACAGAGGCAGTAAGAGAGAAGGATGTTAGGTGTTTGTTTGTGGGCATTGCCCCCACCCCCCATTCACAGCCGTAGGTGCCAGGGGACTGGCTCCGTGACGTGGGTTGCGGCCTCGGCAGGAAGTACGGGGAGGAACTTGTGGCTTTATATGAAGTGCCGGAGTGGTTAACAGGAACAGATAACCTGCTTCTGTTGATACAGTGAGGAAGTGCGAATTCTTGCCACATGCGACATGTAGCGGAGAAGAGCGAAGCCGACGGTGTCGTCCGCGTGTTTGACTGCCTGTGTTTCTGGAATTTCCTAGAGTTTAGTGTGGGTTTTCTTTGGGCGGCTGCAGGATCACACTCAGGAACGCTGGTGCTGGAAGTTGGGGGAGGAAGGGAGATGTACCCCTCTGACAACAGCGGTCTTCAGCTTGCTGCCAGTCGTAGATGTTATAGTTGCATTGGAAGGAATGCTTTCACCCTGGAAACAGCTAAGCAAAAATAAGTTGGCCTACAAATGAGCCGTTTTAAGAGCGTCAGCTTGGGAGGATGACAGATTAACATTATTAAAAGGTTAAATGCAAAAGTGTGAAATATTCTTCACAAAATTATTAGAACTGTGAAATATAAAACTCGCCAGGAAATCAGAAACATTTGGACTCTGTAGATTGTAGGTTCATACGGGGGGAGCCGAACTACCTCGACAGATTTATTTGGATGGGGGAGGGTGGTGAATCTACTCTGAGCTCCTCGACTGACACACTCAGCCATGATCCATAAGTGATTGTTCAAACGTAAACGGACCAATCAGAGCTTTGCCTTTTGGCTCAGTTCTTAACCACAACAGACTAGAGTACAATATACTCTGTTCCAGCCTGGGAGGGGCAGTCCACCTTTACACAGGTTCAGATATCAGCAGTCTTCCACAAATAAAAACAGAAATCCATCTACCCATACATCTATTTCCCTCTCCTTATCCGTGGTCTTTGTTGCGGGGGCACCAAAATCAGAGACCCAGACCTCTCCCTCCCCAGCCTCTAAGGCCAGCTCCTCCGGGGGAATCCTAAGGTGTTCCCTGGCCAGAGGAGAAGTCCCAGTCCAGTGTGTCCTGGGTTTTCCTTTAGGTCTCCTCCTGGTTGGACGAGCCTGGAAAACCTCACCAGAGAGGCATCCTACCCATACGATGGCTCCTCTCCGTAAACATTAGAAAGCTCATTAGAAAATAATTAGCACGGGGTAACTAGGGGCTGTTCGTTCAAGCTAGATAATATTGATTTAATCTGGGTATTTTAGTACTTTAGAAACCGACAGCGCTTCCGACTCCCTCCATCCCCAATAGTCTACACCTACAGTCAGTCAGTCAATCCGTGGCCTTGTGGGCTGGGGGCGGAGCTTGTAGACGGCTCCTTTGTTTGAGCACAGAAGCCCAGACACAACAGTAGCCTGCCCCAGCCCCTTAAAAGGCCTTCAACACAAAGGGACAATGGGTCGGGCTTGGGGTGGGGGTGGAGCGGCTGAGCTGAGGTTGCCCACCTGCACACTTCAAAACTGGACAATCTCCACCCACACACCCAGCTTTAAAATACGCTGCAGGTGTCTTCCTGCTTGGGGCTCAAGAAGGAAGCAGAATAATTCTGCAGCAGCTAAATCAGTTTGGATTTCTACAGCCGAAGGGATGCGACAGAAACCGAGAGTCCGGAAGGCTAAAGTCACAAGAGGTCAAACTCTTGTCTGCTCTGTGTGGAAAAAAAACTGTAAAAATAATTACAACTTTCCATAAACAGGATCATCAAATGCGACATGTAACAAATTTTTTTTTAAGTTTAATATATATATATATATATATATATGTAAAACACATTTAATCTCATTTAAACATGTTAAAATGAATGGAAATTCTCATCGTAAATCTTTTAATTAAAATAATCATAAAAATGTGGCATTTGCAAAAACATATTTTAAATGTGTAAATTTGAAGGCATTACACAAATCCCTTGTTTCTCACACACACACACACCTGCTACTGTAGCTAAAAAAAAAAGCTAACATTGTGTTTTATCTCTCTAAATTCAAAGATATTTTCTGTGCACTAGTACTCTGAACCTTTTTTCCAGTGAGCTGCTGAACGTTACTGGCTGCTCCCAGTGGTCTGTTTTTATTCCTCCCATTTTCACTGGATGAGCCCAGTGTCAATCATCTGGCCTTAGACTGGTGCTGCTGGCAGCTCCAAACTCACACAGCTGTTAAAAGCACCAACACGTTCCTAGACGCACAAGGTAAACACACATCTCTACACACATTAGTCATTTCTACTTTTTTAAAACAAAACTTAAGAGTCAGATTTAATTTTCTCTTTTAATTGATTGCAACACAATTTTATCACATTACAAAAAAAAAAAAAAAACATCCAATATTTATCAGGCTCAGTTTGCAACCTCATTGACAAAGAAAAAAAAAATCCTACAAAATAAAATGTTTTTGCAAAATAGAAAAATTTTAGCAAATGCCACTTTGGATAACCGTAATCAAGAACCCACTTTTAATATCCTACATAAAAGGCTTAACATAAATAAGTTAGTATAATTTCTCAGTGTTTTTTTGCATGTTTGTTTTGTTTTTAACAAATTATGTACAAAGGTACATTGCAAAGATTTTACACAAATATACAGACAGCCTGTCTGCAATGAGCATGTTTCTGGTGCATCCTCAGCAGGCTGACAATGACGGGGTGAGTACAAGCATTCATGTGATCACAAAGAAGCTCCCTGTGAAGTCAAATAAGAGGCTGGAAACTAAAAAACAAACCACGAGACTTTTTCCTTTTAGAAGATTAAGGTTTAGGGGCAGAAGGAAAGCAAAACGTTGATTCTTGTTCTTCAAAGCCGAGTACCTCACAGCTCAAAGGAAACACTCGAACATTAAAACGTAGCTGAGGCGCACAGAAAAACTTCAAAAAAATTGTTTCATAATATTCCAGGACTCTGATGCTAAAAGCACCTCGATTAAAAAATAAATATCAGAAAATCTTAACAGAATTTTTACATCTCCTCGTCGTTTAGACGAGTCCAGCCCTTTGCAGGGAGGCGCTGTAATAAATGAAAAAACAAATTAAATTACGATACGTGAGCTACATTTGTACCATTCTTCACTGCTGCATTAGGAAGCTGACGGAGTGAAGGAACACTACAGAAACGGTGAGAAGCCATGATTTTTTCTTTTTAAGTGTAGCAATTAAGGACAGTGGCAAATGTCACACAGTCTGGAAATAAAAATAAAAAACAGCATTTTGGAAACCATCACTGCAATTCTTCAAGTCAAATGAAAATTCACAACTTTTTACAAAAAGGATTGGATTTAGAATTAAGTTCCTTATGTGCTACACATGGAGACATATTTATACCTATATATATATATATCCATCTTTATTAATTTATTTACACACAGGTAGTAACAAAACGAGCAAAAAAGGGAAATAAAACCTAATTGCACACTGCTACATCGACTGCTGTTAGAGGCAGTAACTTATTTTTAATTGAGTGCCACAACTTTAGTGTTTCTATTCAGTGCTTCAACAGCGTCCTCCTCAGTCCTCAGAAGAGCCGATATGTTTCTGATGCTGCGCAGATCCTCATCCCCAAAAAGCCAACAAACAGTCAGGCCTCCAAAAAAATAAAATAAAAGATGCATATAAAAAACAACACCCTCGCAAAAAAAAAAATGCTCGAACTGTGTGGAGAAGGTGGGAAAAATAAGAAAAAAAAAAGGTTAGTATTAACATTTTTGAAAAATCATCTTTTAACAATTCATGGAAAAAGTTTCACTTTAATTATTTTTCATAACTAGACTGTTTATTTCAAGTGTGCACCCCCTATCAGTTTCCTATTTTTAAAAAGACTAACAAGGTTAAGCTAAACTGACCTGTTACACACACACACACACACACACACACACACACACTTATGAAACTAACAGCTATTTTGTCTTTTAGTGCAGTTCTTTCATCATATTTTATAATAAAATCTTTCAAGGATTTACTTTTGAACAGAAAAACATCCTCATATTGAATCACACCCGGTTATTGTTCAAATTTCTGTGCTAAAAAGAAACATTGATGTAAGTGTTCTCATCTGCAGCCTAAACAGGTCCTAAACCACTGTGAGGAAGATCTCATCGTGCCCATCCCTCCTCCCTTTACTTGAATTCGGACCTGCGGGTCTCCTCAGCACACTCCTCTGCCTGCAGGGACAGCGTGCGTGCGTGTGTGTGTGTGTGCGTGCGTGCGTGTGTGTGTTCAGAGACCAGCCCCTTCTCTGCTCTGCTCCGAGGGCAGTGGCTGCTGACGTGTTACTACTACACTGTTGTTCAGCCCTTGTTTACAGTTTAGTAGAAAAGCTGCAGCAGTGAGACGTTAAAGCCTTTTTCTCTCGGCAGAGTTGATCTCATTGTGATTAAATGAATATAAAATGTTGAAATGGTTACTAGAGTCCAGCATTTTACTTACTGAAGATAAAATAAGCGTGCAGCACCGTTAAAGCTACTCGATAATATGTGGAGAGAACGTGTTATATAACCTGCTGTGGCTCAGATCACAGCTGAGGAACAGAAGCTACATGCGGTTATTGTATACGGATGAGTTTAAGCCTCACCGTTTTCTCTCGGGCTCACGTCTGTCTCTTGGGACTGGGCTTTCTGGGTGTGTGTTCTACTGAGTGGCTCAGGTTCGGACAGCTAACCTCGTCTGGGCTGGTATGGGACCTCTTGTTTTGGGTCGGAGGCTCTGCGAACAGCAAAGAAATTCTGTCAGGGAAACTCGGAGCAAAAACACAAGAAGAGGGTTATAGATGTGCTTCCTGTCGGGTGAAAGCCGAGCTCCGGCTCTAAAACCTGATTAGATGCAAATGTAGTACCGTGACTAGCAGGTCTCTTCCTCAGCCCGGTGCACTCCGTTTGACCGTCGGGCTTGCTGGTATCCCCGCTCGACGCCACCAGGACGCAGTTATGGTTCCCGTTTAGATCCACACTGGTGCTCCTGGGGCAGACGCCCTTCTCCCTCCGCGGCTGCCGGTGGTAGAAGTCCGGCATCTCCTCGGAATCCACTAGTTCCCATTTGAACCTGCCGTTGCTCAGTGGCGTGTCACTGGCGAAGTCGAAGCCCCACTTGGCAGCGGCAGCCTCTTTGAACTCCCGCATGTGTTCGTTAAAATCCTTCTTTAACTCTTCGTGATCCACCGGGCCGAACAGACTTCTGCAGGCAGACGGCTTCGGGTGCTCCGACACCCGGGCCTCCGTCCGCTCCAACGTCGGACTCCCGTTTGAAACTCGAACATTAGACATTTCCCCTCCCCCCAATAAACACGCTATTTTCAGTCAGCCGGGAGCGTCCAGCTGTCATAAGAAAAACACGTCGCTGAAAAAAAAATACAAATAAAAAACAACAACAGCGGTATCTCCAGGTCACGGGGGAAAGATCCGACGCAGCTCTACACCTATGCCATGCATACGTCGAAGTGGAAGACGTTAACTGCTGCGGGGCTCTGGAGTCGAAGATGGTCTCCGAGAATCATCAAAACAAAGTGCACAGGAACTGAGGACGCTGTCAGTTTCGCTCCGCTCAGAGAGAAACTGCAGAGAAACCTCAGCACCCAATATGGCGATTGAGGAGCAGAGCAGTGGTGGGGACTGAGACGGGAGGGGGAGGGGCTTATGATTGACACACAGAGCTATTTAAACCCGGCAAAGGACGCTCATTGGTTAAGCGACACCTGGCCCCACCTACTTTATTTAAAGTGACAGTAGGCGTGTATGAGTGGGGAAGTCGGCTCATATTTTTCCATCACGTTTTACTAAAATAAATATTTATGTATGCTTCTTAAAAATAGAAAACGTATTTTTGTGTAAATGACTACATCACACAAGCTTTATAGTTACACATCTAAAAAAAATACTAAATTTACAGGTAATTTGCAAAGGAGTCAAAACCATTATTTTTCTAAACATCTTCAGTGTGCATTACTCTGTTTTTAATAGTTGATTTATTCTAAATATAAGTATTAACCAAATATTTACCAAATTTAAAAAAAAAATCCAGCATCATAAAGCAACACACGTATGCCAAAGACACACTACAACGGAGTGTAAAACAAAACTAATAAGCCAAGAACCTGCAGAAATCAAACCTGCCGTGGGTCGAGCATTGGTTTTTACATCGCAGCTGAAAAAATTCACAATTTCACATAAAAGTCAGCATGCACTCCCAAAAGAGAGAATTACATCATTATATATATATAATACAAATAATTTAAGGTAGTTTCTTTTTGTCAATGACTGCATGAAAACCTTTTTTCTCCTTTTGTTACTTTTTACACAAACTGACAGAAAATAAAACACCAGACGTAAGGCTGATTTTGGCCTCATGTTCCAAAATAAAAGTGCAGTGTTTAAACTGTTTTGTGAGAAATGATGCAATGTACTTTTACTGGAAAAAATGTTTACTTAAAAGGGTCACAGCAGGATAAGTGGTGCAGATGAGGCCGGCTACAGCCAGCCATTAAAACAATAGCGCCATCTTGTGTTCACTTGACTAAACTATTGCAGCACAAAATCAGCAAGAAACCAATCTTATCAAATACTTTAATACCACACTTTTAAATAAGCATCACAGCTATGCATTTACATATTTATATGTCCATAAAAACAAATACTTATAAAGTAAAAGTCCATCAAAATCTTCTCACTGACTGCCAAAGTATTGCTGCCTACCTTCGTCATCAGTCATTACAGTTTAGTTTAGTGCCTTCATTCTCAATCAGGGAGTGTCAGAGGCCGAGCCACTTGATGATGTAGAAATTCCTTTTTCCTACTTTGAGCAGCGTGAGTCCATTAGTCAGGATGTGGACTTTGGGGATCAGCACCTGCTCTGGATGGTCAGCCCGTTTGTGGTTAATCGAGATTGCCCCCTCTGAAACCATCCGATACCTGCCAACATAAACATGTATGATTAAGACTCTGGGTTAAAGGAGAATGACCTTGTGGAAAACAAAGACCGCTGCTTTGAAATTCCTAGAGTTAAAGCTGCTATAGCAAATCTACAGAACAAGGTTTTGAATGCAAACACGGTCACGGAACACTCAACGTTCCCCTCGGGTATCTTCACTGGGTTCACGTCCACCAGAACCAGAATCCCGTGTTGCCACAGGAAACGAGAGCGTGCTAAAAACCAGTTGCTGTTTTCTAGGTCCAAACATCTTTTGTTGTCTGACTTCAAACTGTGTTTTTCTTTTTGGGACTCGGGTAGTTTGTCCTCAAGTTGAAGTGGTAGCAGCCGACTGTTTCTCCTCTGATATAATTGAGCAGAGGACCTCTCACACCAGTGCTGTTCTGTTGCTGAAATATGAGTGTGTAATGAATGGAGGACACTGAGAAGTGCGGCGGTTTGGTGAGAACAACAATGTGTTATTGGCGGAAGTTTTCAGACAAACGGGAGAGAACTACTTTATTCATTTTTTTTGTTGTTTTTTAATCTCCACAATATATTTTTAGCTGTACCACGTTAGAATGTATTTAAGAGGCATGAAAGACTGTTTTAAGCTAATTTGTTTTACAGATTTGCTATAGCACTAGAGCTGAAACAACTAATCGATTTAATCGATTATTGAAATAGTTGACAACATTTTTTGTCATTGATTTATAATCACATTTTACCGTAAGCGGCCTATTTTTAACACAATTTGTCACATCCATTACAATCTGTTAAATTTGCAGCGAGTGAGCCACTGACCTACCAGTGGAGCAGTAGAAGAAGAAATCAGCCAATAGGTACACTTGTTTTTCATGACGTACCACGCACATCGCTGATGTGCATGCTCACACCGAGGATGGCGGAGCAACAAAAAGTACAGAAAAAATAACAAACTATAAAACTGAGGAAAATACCCAAACAAAAACATCAAGCGTATGGGAGCACTTCACTCTAGAAGTCGTGAAAAGACGGGTGACTAGGGATGGGTACCTTTGACATTTGAATCGATCCGGTACTAATTCCCGGTACCTAAGAATCGATACCGGTACTTAACGGTACCAATATTCGATACTTTTGAGTGTTTAATATTTTTAATTCTCTTTTATAATTAAATATATATTTTTCTCAATATATAACAATATTTGATAAATATCACGATAAATAACATTAAACTGTTTGTATTAACATCGTCCTTGTAGTTTTAAAAGTTGATAATTAAACTGAAGCAAACATCTTTGCTGTGAACTAAATTTACTGTGTATCTTCATTCCTTTTACAGTCTCTTTTTCAATTGATTTTTCCTACTGGGAAGTTAGAATTTCTGAGGAGAAAGCGAACGCACCATTAGATGATAACAATGGTGGCATAGGAAGCTAACATATCAAGCTAACGTTATCTTAAACAGTTTATTTAGCTGCTGGAGCAGATTAAAACGATGATGCCTCACACTTAGATCGTTGTCGCTGGTTTCGTCTTCACCCAATCACCCGTCGCATTTAGTAAAGTGAAGCCAAAATTTAGTGCGTGTTCATGTTCTTCTAGTCGGAATTTCTGAGTTCCGAGGAGAAAGCGAACGCACCATTAGTGAAACGGAAGCTAACAAATCAAGCTAACGTTATCTTAAACATTTTATTTACCTACCGGAGCATATTAAGATGAGGATGTCTCACTTAGATCGTTGTCGCTGGTTTCATCATCACCCAGTTACCCATCACATTTAGTGAAGTGGACCCAAGCTTTAGCGTGTGTTCTGTCTACCATGCTGCTCTGTTTACAACTCGCCCGCAGCGACCGATGACATAACGCTCTTGCGCATGCGCAGCTGTCCAGGCAAGTTCTCGTTGTGAAGGACGGGTACCGAAACGAGGCACTGTTTCAAATGAAGTGAATCGGTGCTCAGTCGGTACTGTGGAATTCGGTCGGTACCTTAAAAAGTACCGAATTCGGTACCCATCCCTACGGGTGACCCGCAAGATACAGAAAAAAATTATTTGGCATGGCACAGAAGAACGACTTCTCTTAACGAACATCTGAGACCAAAACGTGTCGGAGTTGATGCAGCTAAAGCGCCAGCCCCGGTTAGTGACTATGACGTAGGGCTGGGCGATACGGCCTAAAAATAAAATTGATTTTTTTTATTTTTTTGGATTTACGATTTTTCCCCCCGATTCTCTCTCCCTCTCAATTAAGATTAGCAATAAGTACAAATGGAAGGCAATTTTGTTTTTATTTAATCACAAGCAAGACAAATGTAACCCTCATTTCTGAGATGAATAATGAATAAATGAACACCCTCTTGGAATAAAAGTGCCACGTCCGTCGCAGCAAACCCAAACCAGTTCCAAACAACGGATGATTTAATTCCTTACTTAAGGACAAACTTCCCACTCTCACCGGTGGCCATGGAGTCGCTTGCTGTTGCCGTTTCATGTGCGTGCTGTGACGTTGTCACGGTTATGTGAAATTAATGCTATGGAAACTAAAAGGCGCTACTACATAAAAATTCGATTAACTTATTTTCATTTTATTTTTAATCGCCCGCAACAAAAAATTTGAATTAATCCATTAAATCAATTTATTGCCCAGGCCTACAATAATGCGGATCACTTTTTGTGACTTTGCTGTTTAGCTGAGTCTGTTATAGTAAATGGTAAATGGCCTGTATGTGATGTAGCGCCTTCTAGAGTCCTGGAACCCCCCAAGGCGCTTTACAACACAGTCATTCACCCATACACACACTGGTGGGGATGAGCTACTGACAGAGGCGAGGCTGCCGAACACAGGCGCCACCGGTCCCTCCGACCACCACCAGCAGGCAACGTGGGTTAAGTGTCTTGCCCAAGGACACAACGACAGCAACAGACTGAGCGGGGCTTGAACCTGCAACCTTCTGACTACGAGGCACAGAACGTTGCGTGCCAGGATGATGTCGGCGCCAAAACTAACAAAACAAAGCGTAGACTCACCTCTTACATCAGGAAGAATCTGTGCGTTTTGAGCGTGATCTGTTCTTTCATAATCTGTTGTTGAATTGTGATCGGCATACGCTTTTCTGGTTCGTGCCTCACGATTTTTTTATAGCAGCGGCACAAAACGATCTAACACATGGATGTTCTGCTTCCTGATCACGTGATGCGTGACGTACGCAGATGAAGATCGGCTTTAGAGCTGTGATGTTTGTTCTCACGGTGCGGGGGCTCGTTCCGACTTTAGTTGTCATTTGCAGTTAATGAGTTAATGTCAGTATTTTGGTATCGGCAAATATCGGTCTCAACAGCGATATTAATATCGGATATTGGTGTATCATTAGTTTTACCTTTGGGAGTGTTTAAATGATCAAGAAATACGAGGCACGTTCATTTTGTGTAATGTTGTCTAAGAAACATGTTTTAAGTGTTTTACAGCGTTAAAACACATATTTGTGAAACATAATTACTTCTTCCCAGATTTTTCCTGTTGCGGGTTATTTAGTAGATTAACAAAAACCGATTAACCCTAAAAATAATCGGCAGATTAATTGATTACGAAAATAATTGTTAGCTGCAGCCCTATATAGCACCTTTAAGTGCAGATCAGTATGGTCCATATTATTTTGATAGACTCTAAAGAGTCTGTTTAAGAATAGGAAAACAAAAGGATGGGGTTGCCTACCCTTTGGGCCCATCAGGGATGGCACTGATTTTGCGACATGCATCAATCACGGTGGTCCCTGGCTCCAAAAGCAGCTCATGAAAAGGAGCATCTCTGAAAAGTTCCTGAAGCTCCTCATCAGTCATTTCCTGCAAGGCCTCCACGTTATTGTTATACAACGCATTAGTGCATCTGCAACAACAAACATTACAGCCATGAAAAATCAGAAAACGACAGGCTAAGGCTCTTCCTGCGCAAATACAACAAGCAGCTACACTCAGACCTCTTGGCACTCTCCAGGCCCTCTTTTCCATGCACCAATTTTGTCACTTCTGCAGCCAGTCGCTTGTGGGCAAGGCGCTTACTTGGATGCTCTCTCTGCTGTTCCATCAGCTTCTCTACCTCAGCCAGAGGCAGAAAGGTGAACAACTTCAGATAGCTGCAAAATGTCCACACCTGAAACCTCAGTGTCCACCTACGGTGCTCATTATGCCACACAAAGCACATCTACACCTATCACTGCTGTGCCCCGCTTACCCCTCCACGCTGGCATCAGGCTGTCTGAGGAAGAACTGGTAGAGTTCAAATGAGGAGGTCTTGTCCCTGTTCAGCCACACGGCGTTTCCTGCAGTTTTCCCCAGCTTGTCCCCGACGTAGCTGGTGACCAGCGGGATGGTTAGGCCATACACCTTCTCACCGCTCACCCTGAACAGATAGCAGAATTTCAGCCTGACATGCTGGTCTGGCTACATCAAAAGGGACATCATACAAAAGACCAAAAACTTGCCTGCTGTCAGTAATCTACTTAAATCTACCATGTAGCCCAAAATTACAACATTGCTTTACTCATGATAAAAAAAACTGATCATTTTAAACCTTGAAAATGTCTTGGTGGCTGTGTCGCTCGGTGGGAATAACACATCTGTGTTTATTAAAACACCCAGAAGATGCTTAGTCTACACTTTAGAAGGGTAAACAGTGCAAGAGGATTTTTCGGCAGCCTGGTGGACATTTACTTGTGAATGTACTCGTGGCCAGACATCAAATTGCCCAGCTGGTCGCTGCCTCCGAGCTGAATCTTGCAGCCGTATATCTGGTTCAGGTGGTAGAAGTCATAAGCTTGGAACACCTGGTAGGTGAACTCCGTCAGGCTCATACCGTCTGCGCTCTTCAGCCGGGCCTGCACGCTGTGGCGGCTGAGCATTGTCCCCATCCTGAAGTGCCTTCCGGCCTCGGAGAGGAAGTCCACCACACCGCGGCTTTTATACCAGCTCAGGTTGTTCAACACGGTTACGGTTCCCAGCTTCCTGGAGCTGTGGTGAAAGTGCATTTCGTGGTTCGTGAAAATCCTCTGTATGCTCTCCCGGATGCTGTGGGTGTTTTCCTCCGCGAGCTCCGCGGAGAGCGGCTCGCGCTCTGTTGTTTTCCCGCTTGGGTCTCCAATTTGTGCCGTCGCCCCTCCGATCACAGCAATGACGTGATGCCCGGCGCTTCGGAAGTGTAACAGGCCAATGATAGCGAGCAGGTTTCCCACATGGAGACTGTCGGCGGTGGGGTCGAAGCCGCAGTAAACGGTCTGAGAGCCGGACTGAAGCAGCTGGGGGATCTGGTCCTGCGCGGCGCTTTCTGGGAACGACTCCTTTAAAATACCGCGGTTATGTAAAGATAAGAGCAGTTCAGTGTGTGCAGGAGGAGAACTGTGAAATTTAGAGTGGAATGCAAAAGAAACACGCGCTCTTTGGAGGAAGCTGCGAGAGCCACACTGCCATAAACAGCACAGCATGGAGACCGCCATGTTTGACAATGTGACAAACCCGGAAGAGAAGCTGAATTGAAGAGCCCTGTTTCAGGAGATGTTTAAAGACTATCGCGCCCCCTGGCGGAGCGGAAATTAACTCGCACCATATCGACAAACGTCACAAAGATTTAAAAAATAATCAAAAGTTGTAAATTACGTTTGGCTACAGTATATCTACGTTTAATTTTCAGTTCCTTGTTATTATGATTTTAATTTTTAAAAGTTCTGTCTATTTTTTTAAATAAGAAAATAGTGAAAAAAATCACCAAATTTGTTATTAATGACATGTTCTGTGTCCCCTTGGTCCCCAGCCCCACCTGTTCTTCCTCTGCGTTCCCCTCATGTGTCTGCTTATGCCCTGTGTCCTTTTACTTCCCCAGCCCCAGGGGGGCTGCCAGAGATTTTGGGCCCCATGAAAAAATATCAAGTTGGGCTCCCTGGGGGCTCGTCCATAGCTGGAGCTGGGGTTCCACCCTCCCAGATTCGAAGGGAGGAAAAAAAAATATGTATGTGTGTATATATATATATATATATATATATATATATATATATATATATATATATATAATTATATTAGTATTTCAGTTTTGCTTAATTATGTAGGTCTACATGCATTCTTACTTATTTACATCAATCAATCAATCAATGCTTTATTTATAAAGCGCCTTCCGCAACCCTGTCAGGAAGCCCAAGGCGCTGAACATGGTACAGAAAGTTAAATATAGTGAATAAATCAGAAAATAAAAGCATTTCAAAATACAGATTACAAAAAAAGGTTAAACATTCTAGTACAGGACAAATGTGTAAAACAAGGGATAGAGTGAACCATTGAAAACTATGAAATAAAATCAACATAAAAGATGGCCAAATTCAAACACGTTTAGGAAACGCCGGGCGGAGGAGGTGGGTTTTTAGGCGACTCTTAAAGGCTGGCAGAGATGGGGACAGCCTAACTGAGGGTGGCAACTGGTTCCAGAGTGACGGTGCTAGGACAGAGAAAGCCCGGTCCCAGCGAGTACGACACCTAGAACGTGGGACAGCGAGCAGGCCTTGGTCAGAGGAGCGCAGAACGCGTGATGGGGAATGTCTGTTCAGGAGTGTGGCTAGATAGGGAGGACCACCACCCTGGAAGAAATTGTAAACAAAGACGAGGATTTTGAATTGTGCACGATAGCAAACCGGAAGCCAATGCAGGGAGGTCAGAACTGGACTGATGTGGTCCCGTTTCCTGGTCCCAGTCAGGAACCTGGCTGCGCTGTTCTGCACAACCTGTAGGCGACGCAGTGATGACTGACACAACACTGCATAGAGAGAGTTGCAGTAATCAACATATCATTTTCACCAGCTGTCTCTCACTAAACAGTGAATTTTCTTCAACAGAATTAGCAATATCACTGCTGGAAAAAGCAGGAAATGCACATGCTAAAAGGTGTGTTAATCTCCTTTTCCTCCCTTAAAATGTGTTTATTTATTCTAAAATTTTATTTGATGATAAAATTCAAATTTGGATAACTAAATTCCCATGTTGTGTCAAAACTTTACATAACTACATTTTCAGCTGTCTTTCCTCTTGAAATCAAGCATTTCTGTATGACTGACAAAAATTAAGGATTCACTGCTCACAAGGTGACTTCTTTATTAAGTCTCCATGGCTTCATCATAGACACAAAATGAATAAGCACACAGTTCAAACCGAAGTCAGTTAGGGTTACATAAAATTTTAAAGTTGGTTAACTTTGCATGAATACGTATGTAAGTCTCTAGACACCCATTTTCTCAACAACAAAAAAACTGCTAAAAATATATTCAGCCTTGATTGTACACAGCAAGATTTTTTATTTACAGTGATATAATTAATAATGCTCCTGAGTGACATACTTAGTGACGGACTAAATAGCAATGCTTCAACCTGCCCAGCATCCAAAACAATCTATACATTTTTACTGATTGATATATATATATTGTGGCAAGCTCAGTCACGGAGGAGACAGAGGTTTCTTTGGGAGCACCCGTTTAATCTACACACCTCAGCGCGGACACAGCAACAACAACAAAAAGGCGCGCTCTCACCGGAAAAAACAGTCGCCGAGAGAGCGCGTCACCCGTCACCATAGCAACATGACAACAAACACATAACTGCAATAACAGAACAAACCCCGAACAGCCCTGGCCCGCTACACAGCCCCCACCTAAGGGGTCAGTCGTCCCCGACAACCCCATTACCCCACACAAAGTCCTGCAACCGTCCAGGTGCCTTCTTCTGGCGCACCGGCCGGTCTCGACAGGCGGGGGAAAAGTCACTCGGGTCAGAACATGGGGTGCTGCCAGCATCCCCTGCCCCGGTCTCAGCCTGAGCGAGCGGTCGATACGGCGAGAGTCTGTCCTGGTGCAACACCACCAGGCGCCCCGGGCCCGGCATGCAAACACGGTACACCACTTCTGTTAGCTGCTCCACGACCTCCGCCGGCCCTTGCCAGTGACTGCAGAGTTTGGGGGACACTCCTCTCTTGCGAACCGGGCAGTACACCCAAACCCTGTCGCCAGGCGCGAAACCCCTCCCCCGGCACTTAGTGTCGTAGGCTCTTTTCTGTCGCACTCCGGCGCTGGCCTGGGCCCGGCGGGTGTAGTCATGAGCCACCCGCAGCCGCTCCCTTAGCCTCCTGTAGTAGTCCATCTCTGGCCCGCCGTCAATCTCTGGCTCGGGGAGGGGACCCAAACACCAGATCCACGGGTGTACGGAGTTCCCGCCCAAACATCAAAGCGGCAGGTGTGCACTGGCTGGACTCCTGAACCGCAGTCCGATACGACCAAAGGACCAGGGGCAGATGTCGGTCCCAATCTCGCTGGTGGCAACCGGTGAGAATGGCGAGCTGGGTGGCCAGCGTACGGTTAAAGCGTTCGACCAAGCCGTCGCTTTGCGGGTGGAGTGGTGTGGTTCTCGTCTTTTCCACCCCCAGCCGCTGACAGATCTCCTTGAAGACCTTCGATTCGAAGTTACGCCCCTGGTCACTGTGGAGCTCGGCCGGGACCCCAAACCGGGTGAACATCTCCTCCACCAGCTTCTCCGCCGTCGTCGACGCACTCTGGTCCGGCACAGCGTAGGCCTCCGGCCACTTTGTGAAATAATCCATGGCCACCAACACGTACCGGTTCCCTGACTCCGTAACGGGGAAAGGCCCTAGGACGTCCACACCCACTCGCTCCATCGGGGCCCCCACCAGGTACTGTTGAAGAGGGGCAGTGGAGCGCTGAGTTGGGCCTTTCTGTGCCGTGCAGGTGTCACAACAGTGCACATGAAGCTCCACATCCCGTCGACAGCCAGGCCAGTAGAACCGTCCTCTGAGACGGCGGAGAGTTTTGGCATTCCCATAGTGGCCGGCCCCCACCGAGCCGTGGACGAGCTCGAGCACCTGCGACCGCAACGACCGAGGCACCAACACCTGCAGGAGATCTCTGCCCTGCCCGGGGGCCCGCCATCTCCGGTACAGGAGGCCGTCGTGGGTCTCCAGGTTGTTGTACTGGGAGTAATAGGCCTTCACTTCGGGCTCCTGTCCCGACACCCCCCCCCAGTCGGGGCGTTGCGCTGCCTCCAGCCAGGCCCCCACCTGCACCAACGTCGCATCAGCCTCCTGTTCCCTCTTCAGCTGCTGTGGGGCCAATGGGAGCCACCCCCCTCCGCTGGCTGTGGCCTGAGCAGCAGCCACACCCAGCGCCTCCTGGACCCGCTCCTCCTGTCGCAGACAGTAGCGGCACTCGACGGCCATGCAGGGCCTTCTGGAGAGGGCATCAGCGTTGCCATGCTGTCGACCTGCCCGATGTTGGATCTCAAAGTCGTAACCCTGAAGGACCTCCAGCCAGCGGGCCACCTGACCCTCTGGGTGTTTGAAGTTCAGGAGCCAAGTCAGAGATGCATGGTCAGTGCGCAGGAGGAACCGGCAGCCATGCAGATATGGCCGGAAGTGCCGCACTGCTAGTACCACGGCCAGCAGCTCCCGCCGGGTCACGCAGTAGTTCCTCTCGGCTCGCCCCAGCGCTCGGCTGAAGTATGCCACCACTTGTTCTCCAGCATCGCCCTGCTGAGAAAGGACCGCCCCAACTCCTACTTTGCTAGCGTCAGTGTCCACAATGAAGGGTTGCTGGGCGTCAGGGTAGGCCAGGACTGGGGCTCTGGTGAGGGCCTCCTTCAGCTGTGCGAAAGCCGCAGCGCAGGCATCACTCCAGCCAAATGGCTGGCCCTTGTCGGTTAAGCGGTGGAGGGGGCTGGCTGTTGTTGCGAACCCCTTAATGAACCGACGGTAGTAAGAGGCTAGGCCCAGGAAGCTCCGCAGTTCTTTGACGTTCGAGGGGGTCGGCCAATCCCGGACCGCCGCCACCTTAGCGGGATCGGTGGCGATACCCTGCGCGCTGATTACATGGCCTAAGAATGTAGTCTCTCTCGTCAACAGCTGGCACTTCGCAGGGTTGAGCCGCAGCCCGGCTCGACGGATGGCACCGAAGACCTCGCTCAGGTGGGACAGTGCACTGTCGAAGTCGCCACCGTGTACCAACAGGTCATCCAGGTACACAACACAGCGGCTACGAGGGATGTTCACGAGCACCCTCTCCATCAGCCTCTCAAACGTCGCTGGTGCATTGCAGAGCCCAAAGGGCATGACCCTGAACTGCCACAGCCCCTGGCCAATGGTGAATGCAGTCTTAGGCCTTGCTTCGGGGGCTAGCTCCACCTGCCAGTAACCACTGCGCAGGTCGAGGGAGCTGAACCAGCTGGAGCCGCAGACATAATCCAGGGCTTCGTCGATCCGCGGAAGCGGGTATGAGTCCTTCTTGGTGACTGCATTGAGACGGCAAAAGTCCACACAGAACCTCGGGCTGCCATCCTTCTTCCCCACCAGGACCACGGGTGCCGCCCATGGGCTGTTGGACGGCTCGATCACCCCAGCTGCAGCCATCTCACGGATCTTTTCCTCCGCCACCTGCCGTTTTGAGAGGGGCAGCCGGTGCGGGCGTAGACGGATAGGTTGGGCAGAGCCGGTGTCAATAGTGTGCTGGACCAGCCCTGTCTGCCTGCAGTCTTTATCACTGGCAGCAAAGATGTCCACATTCTCATCCAGGAGGCACCTCAACCGCTGGCGCTGATCACCGTTGAGACCCACGCTGCTGCGCTGCCACAGGTCACCAACAGCCTCGGCTGTTTCGGTCGAGGGAGATTTGTTAGGCTGAGGGGCCGGGGTTGCGGTGAGTACAGATGACCCGGACCCACTGGCACCCGAAATCTGCTGAGCGGCAGCTGCCTGACGTCTGTCTCTGGTCCCCCCCGCTCCCTGCTTTTGCCCGCACTGGAGGGTGAGAGTCTCTGTTCCAAGAGTGAGAGCCCGCTTTGCGGTGTCAACGCAGGCCCCCCAGCGGGTCAGCAGATCAAGGCCGATGATGCACTGGTCTTGAATGTCAGCCAGCCAGAAGTCGTGAATCAGCTCCAGATCCCTCACTCTGATCTGCAACAGTTTCTTCCCCCGCATATCAGTTCTCTCCCCCGTCACAGTCATCAGCTGGGTGTCGGTAGGCGTCCAACCCTCCACCAACAACCCGGATGTTCCAGGGAGCACGCCAGGTCGTATCAGGGAGATGGTAGACCCCGTGTCCACCAGGGCCTGGCATGGCTGGCCCTCAATGCAGCAGCTCAGGTAGAGTCCCTTGAGGTGCCCAACCCGGCCCACCACTGTGCATCGTCCTTGGAGGGGGGCAGGAAGCTGGGGCGGTGGTCCCCTCACTACACCGCTCCCACCCCGTTTCCCGGAGTCCCTGGAGTTCTGACCGATGGGGCAGGTGCCGGGCAGTCTCGCGCCACGTGGCCAGGCTCATCGCACCGGTAACAGCGGTCAGTGGGACGACGAGGACGCCTCCGAGGCACCGAGGGCCGCAGCTGACATATCTCTGCGACCGCCCCCTCCTCGTCGCAGTCTGCGGCTCTGATTTGAGGGTAGCTTGGGGAGGGCACCTGCTGGTGGGGTGGAGAGGCGAGCACCAGCTCAGCCCTTTCAGCCTGGAGGAGCGCCTCACTGAGAGTCTGAGGCATGGCCAGGCGGACGTGTTGGCGCAGTCGCTCTGGGAAAAGTCCTCGCAGGAAAGCATGCAGGCTAAGCTCCTCCCGGGCTGCTGCTGGGAACTCTGGGTAGCCACGACGGGCATACAGCAACACATCCGCTGCAAAGGTGCCCAGGCTCTCCCCCGGCCTACGGCTCCGGTTGGTCAGCTGCTCCCTGCTCTGATCAGTGGAGTGCCGCTGCCCAAATCGTCTCTCGAGTGCTGTGGTGAGGGCCTGGAGCTCATGCTGCTCTGACGCGGCTAGGTCGAGGAGTACCTGCAGTGCATCTCCTTCCAATGCTAGCGCTAGGTGTGTAGCAGCCTCGCCGTCACTCCAGCCATTATGTCTCGCGGCTAGCCGTACTTGTGAGAGGTAGGGCTCTAGCGGGGTTAACCCGTTATACTTCGGTACTTTAGCTGGCGTTTCAGGCACCACTGCTCGCTGTCGGGGGCCCGGTGTGTCGGCCGACGGAGGCAGCCCATCACGCATTGCCCTAGCGTCGGTCGCGACGGGCCGCCGTCTCGGTGCGCTCGCGCCATCGGGACCCACCGGGGAGCTTACACGGCCGCTCATGTCTTCTCTCTTCAATCGCCAGCTTTCCAGACGGGTAATGTTTTCCTCAATTGCTTGCTCCAGTCTCCGAATGTCTCTCTCCATTACGGCGAGGGTGAGTATCCCACTTCTGACACCAATGTGGCAAGCTCAGTCACGGAGGAGACAGAGGTTTCTTTGGGAGCACCCGTTTAATCTACACACCTCAGCGCGGACACAGCAACAACAACAAAAAGGCGCGCTCTCACCGGAAAAAACAGTCGCCGAGAGAGCGCGTCACCCGTCACCATAGCAACATGACAACAAACACATAACTGCAATAACAGAACAAACCCCGAACAGCCCTGGCCCGCTACAATATATATATATAATTATCATTATGTGGAAAAACAATGTGTTTATCACCAAAAATAGCCTTTTTATATTCCTTTGCAACAGTACTGATAGAGAAGAGAGCCTTAAGTGATTCCCACAGACCCCCTTAAATGAGGCTGCTAGCTAGCATGCTACATTGCTCACTTTCTTGAGGTTCATTGGGTTGTGAGGGGACACCTACTGATATATCATCAGCTGCTGATTCTGGTAGGGACAAGGACAACAACCCATTTACCATAATTAGATGAAACATAGTTCCTCACTGTGGATATCAAAGCTAGCAAACAGGTTGAATTTAACCACTCACTATCTAAACCCACCTTTCTTTGAGAAAAACTGTGTGACATACTGACGCCCTCTCTTCTGCCTGTCCTCTTTCTCCTTTCTTTCTTTCCTTTTCTGTGACTCAGACTTTGTTTTTGCAGACATGCAGCCTTGGCACACTCTGCTGTCTGCTGCGTGAGCTAGCCTGGCCTGCTACGCGACCCTCGGCCAGGTGGACTGTACCATTTTATGCCGTTTTTTTTGGGGGGGGGGGGGGGGGGGGGGGCAAATTAATTAGTCAAAATAAAGTAGGGATCTCTGAATACACAGTTCATAAAGACTAAAAGATTGTTTAATGTCTTAAATGAGAAAAAATACTGCAAAGTAAAGTACTTGTGATTTTTAAACTTTATTTATTTTTTTATTCAACTTTGAAACTTTTTTGGGCCCCTGACAGCTGTGGGCTTCCTAATCTTTCACTGCTTTACGGCGCCCCTGCCAGCCCACTCAGGTTCTCTTCATGTGTCTTCTTGTGTTCCCCAGCTCCCTCTAGGCTTCCCTCATGTTTCCTCCTAGTCACTCCCTTGTAGTTCCTATTTGTTTGCATTACCCCTTCTTTCCACCAGAGCCATCAGCAGCACGTTACTGCAGCAGCACGTCATAGCTACTGATAGGAACCGCTGTGGTCAACAGAACCTTTTCCACCAGAGCTGTCAGCAGCGCAAGTGGGCCGCGTCTCAGGAGCAGCATGCCGCGGCCAACATAAACATGTATGATTAAGACTTTGGGTTAAAGGAAAATGACCTTGTGGCCCTTATGAAGTGTATAAGGCCAGATAGGTGGCAAAGGGATACAGTCAAGTAGAAGGACTTGACTATTCAGAGACATTTTCCCCGACAGCTAACCTGACATCACTACGGGTACTAATGCAACTTGCTGCACAACATAATCTTACACTAAATCAGATGGATGTCAAGACAACATATGTACATGCACCAGTTGACTGTGAGATCTATATGGATCAACCTGAAGGTTTCCAGCTCGATTCAAAGAGTAGAGAAATGAGCATCATGAACAACAGCTCTGGTAAGCATCTTTGGCACTGTGCTGTGTGATCTACCTGCACAAAGAGTGTCCTTTTATTGTGGCCCATCAAAGGCACACCTGTACAAAATTCATGCTGTCCAATCAGCACCTTTATGTGCCATGCCTGTGAGGTGGGATGGGTTATCTCAGCAAAGGAGAAGTGCTCCTAACAGATTTAGACACATTTGTGAACAATAGTCATCTGTCTGTGTGTCTGTCTTTCTATAGCAAATAAAAACCCATACAACAGTCAGATTCACTCACATTGTAGCAACTTTCAGAATCATTTTTATTCTTTTAAAATCAATTTAATGTCAATTTGTCTTCCTGTTAAAATGACTAGATGCACAGTACATTCAGACATTTACAGTATTGTTATAAAGCTACAGTACACACCAACAACAGCCTCCGTCTTTCTGCAGAACACCAGAGCCACAGAATTAAACGGCTAAAAGTCAGAAGTCTCACATTCCTGCAACTGCCTCTGGCTAACAATATCTGTCAGTTCTGGAAAATCAAAGTTTATCTTATTAATGATGTTACTGGTGTTCATGTGCTGTAAGGCAGAGCACTAAACTTGTTTTAGAATGAAGGAAAGACACTTCCTAAATGTCCTGAGCTAGTTAAAGGAAGACTACGATTCCCTGAAACAAGTTCACTAGTCCCTTGTGATTTCTACATGAGACGTCCCAAACCACAAAGCAGCGTCACCACGTCTCCTCACTAATCTGGATCTAGTGATTCATCTATTTTATTTTTAGCTTTTTAAATAGTTTTCTTAAAGCAAATCGTTCTTTTTTACCACCTGAAAGTAATTAATGTTTTCTGTCAAAATAGTTTTTGTTTAATCTACAAACACATCAGTGGAACCCCAGTGTGTAGCAAAAGGCTGTATCAAGATAAAGACGCCAACAAATTACAAGTGTGTTCCTGTTTCCTTTACTTCATGTGTTGGCATGTATACACACTAAGGCACACTTTGCTGATGGTTAATCACCAAGCATTTCCAGGGTCAGCCAGGTGAATAACGAGCTGCGTTTACTGAATTCTCTGCGTGGGTCGGACGCTGTGATGGGTTACGAGGCAGCTGGAAGGTCCGTAATCTACTTGTGGCAGAAGAGACATTTGGTGAGTTATAGCAGCGAGTCAGAGTCAGTACTATTACTGCATCATATTTACTGTAAAAGCTGTAATGAGATGGGAAATAATCGGTATCGCTCACAGCCTAAAGACGTCAAAAATACGTCTGTCCAGGCAACTACGGAGCACTTCTGATACAAATGATGAATCTCTGTGCATATATTCTGTGTTCTACTGGGCAACCTGAGAAAAACGGTACAAAGGTACAAAAACTGTGGCTTCACCTCTCTCTGATCTCTCTTATGGAACCATAATTAGTGATGAGGGAGTTTTGGTGAATCAACTTTGATGTCTGTCTAAAAACACCAGAAGGAATGTCCCCTGTGGGGTTCAGACTCGTGAATAATCAGATTCCAGTTCACCCTGTTTTCACCTTAAAGGGATAATTAAGATGCTTTGATGTTGATTTCATAAAACTGTTGTGAGCAACTAATACCTGACCCGTTCGTAGCTCTTGAATGACCTCAGTTTGAAAAAATAGACATCAGTGCTGACTAGAAATATTAACACAGGTCCCATCCACACAGCTGCACAAGTGAATACACACACTGCCCCGTCCAAAAAAGTGGCCACAACGAAAAGGTAACCCTCTCTAATATTTAACTGGACTGCCTTTAGCTTTGATTACATCACACATTCGCTGTGGCGTTGTTTCAATAAGCTAAAACGTCACCAGATTTATTTCCATCCACCAAGATCTTTCACTGATGATGGTAGAGTCTGACGGCTGCACAAAGCCTTCTCCAGCACATCTCAAAGATTCTCAATGGAGTTAAGGTCTGGATTCAGTGGTGGCCAATCCATGTGTGAGAATGATGTCTCATGCTCCTTGAACCACTCTATCATTATCTGAGCCTAATGAATCCTGGCATTGTCATCTTGGAATACACCAGTGCCATCATGGAAGATGGAGTAACCTGGTCATTCAGGATATTCAGGTAGTCAGCTGACCTCATTCTTGGAGCACATCCTGTTGCTGAACCTAGACCTGACCAACTGCAGCAACCCCAGATCATAACACTGCCCCCACAGGCTTGTACAGTAGGCACTGGCATGATGGGTGCATCACTTCATCTGCCTCTCTTCTTACCCTGATGCACCATCACTCTGGAACAGGGCCCATCTGGACTCATCAGACGTTTTCTCTGCTTGATGCCAATGATCTGACCCTTCTCAAGCAGACTAACATCTTTTCCACGACCACCAGATGTGTCTTTCTACATGCTTGTTTAAGAAATAAGAAGCAACTCATTGCACCAGTTGGGTTTAAATAACTTGTTGCAGCTTATGTAGTAATTATCTAATAGGAGGCTCTTAAATTAATCAAGTTGGTGACTTTTTTTTTAGCCGGGCAGTGTATTTATGTTACTCTTGCAAAAATATTAAATAGTAAGTATTACACACTGAAACAGAAGTGCTCTAGCTCACTAGCAAACAGCCATATAAGTCTATGTAAATAACCATTTAAAGAAAACATTTCAGTATGGAAACAACTCTAACATCCACATGAACACTTTGAGTTGAGAGTTGATTTAAGATGGCACCGATATTTGACTAGACAATAGCTTGTCAGTGTAGCCTAAAGTAATCTCTGTTTCTCCAAACTGAGGTCATTCAAACTAAACCTTTGCGGTATTAAATATTCATAACATTCCTGTTGAAATCCACTATTGTTTTAGTTCTATTTACAATCTACCTTTGAATGGAGTCTTTTCATTCATACACACCTTAGTATAAAATTAATACAAAAGTATTATAGCAATAAGAAGATACAGTACACACCTTCGCTTACCTCAAAAATTAAACATGTGACCAAAATCAGGAATACAGATATTGATTATCTTGTGTACTTCAAGAGTTAGATCAGCTATGTACAAACAGCATGATGTCATTAGGGCTGCACATATTGCTTTAAAACATGACACTGCAGATTTCTCACGTAGAGAATTAAAATGACGAGAACGTTTCCACTAGAATGACTAAAGTGATTTTCAGAGTGCAACTGCATATGGAAGAAATAGAAAAACAAATGCATGGGTTTTGGGATTTGCTGCTCCGTTTCTCAGAAGTTTACCAAATGCACCAAACGGATAGAGATCTATGAAAGAGTCGCCTCACCGCTCCTGTTTGTTGCATTTCTTTTTGCAACCTGAACTTTTTTCATTATTTAAAAGCTCAGAATGTTCAACAGCACCAAAATACCCAACAACGTTAACAATAAAGCTTCCTCAGTGCAGGCATCCTCTCTATACATAAACAGTTTGCATCGTGATCTGTTTGAGGTAACGTTTTGCTCAACGCTGCACGTCCCGTGTTGTGATTACTGCACACGGGGAAAATTGTCAGTGCTTGAAATTTACAATACAGTGCAGCCCTGGATATAGATAGATTTTAAATATCTGAAATCAAGGTTTTCACAACGATCGAGTGTTTTGGTTGAACCTGGCAGATGCTAAAAAGATTTTTCTCGCCCATTTCCAACCACATCTCTCTACCATGTCTTTATGAACATTCCCTTTAGGTTTTCCACGTAGCTTGTTCTCCACAGACACAGGGCAACATGGGATGAGTATTAAAAAACCTTTGCTTGTAATCGGCCAGTGGACGGACTGGTTGTGCAATCCTTGACTTTTAATATGATAGATGTAGAAAATCATCATTAAAAAAAACAGGAAACTACTTTCTGAGATCGTATGTGGGCAATCCATGAAGCCACGCTTTGAAATATTTCCTTTTTTCTAGAAAAAACGTGGAGGTTAAACACAAAATGGGCATGATACTAGGAGAGAGAAAATAAACGTTAGCTTTATGTGTGACTGATCAGAGTCAGTCCCTAATGATGAACAAAGGCAACACAGAACGGAGTGTCAAACGCCTGAGTTCTGTGAAAAACAAACATATTGCAGGTGTTTGTGCTTTTGATATGAGGCAAATTCAAAGCTAACCTGTGCACGTTAATGCTTCGTTCATATATACTCTGTATAGAGCTGCGAGTGTAGAGACGACTTTTCCGGTCTACAGATGAGCCTCAGAGAGGAAAATAATGGGACTGGTGATCTCCAGCATGGTTTACAGTGGAGGTAGACCACTGCTACTTTTCAAATAACTGGTTATGATCTACGAAGGGAAATTAGGGCCACTCAGAAGAAAATAGATGAGGAGGAAGTACCAACGTCAAAGTCGTGGAGATGAGAAAGCAAACTATTCCCAGAGGTAAGTCAAGAGTCAGCCGCTGGGCTCCTGAACCTGTCTGTCACCATTTCATTTTAAATGAAAAGTAATTCTGGGTACAAATCTGTGATCTCTGACTTGGTTAAACCGAAACCACGTATTAGTCGACCTCTGCCTACAGTACAGGTAAATGACTGTGAGACGTGAAGATGTGTGCAGCTGTGTACAGAAGAACATGCTGGAGGGCTGGTGCACCAACGACCATCACCGCCTTTTTATTAGCAGCAGATTGAGCTGATGCTGCTTTGCTTTATATAGTTGCTGCCTCTGAAGTCAGTTTTATCAAAGCTATATGGCTATTTCACATCGGTATAAAAAAATCTGTTCAAGCATACAACTGGAGTGGCAGTCACCAGGTTGACTCTCTTTCCTCGTTTTAGGGCTCACTGAGGGTCAGAATAACCAGAGAGGCCACCTCACCACCTAAGGGTTTGGTCAGAGCAACTCAGCCAGCTGGATTTATTTTTTTCATGATTCAGAAGGTCTGTGCAGTGAAACTAAGACAACAATCAGATTTAAGTTCTTTGAAGCTAAAAGAACACTCCAGCTTGATGGGAGATGGACACATTTAGTGGTTCAACCCCTAGCTTATGGACAACTCCATGTCTTATTGTGTCCCTAATAAAGAAGGGGCTGATCTGCAGGGTTCTTCTGCTGGTTATTCCTCCATGATCCTCAGTACATGTCTCTGTAGATCTCCTGTAGGAGCGGGTGCAACGAGGTGTCCTCTGTCTTTTTGATCTCCTGCACCAGCTGTGCGTGTTCAGTGACCAGCTCACGAAGATCAGCCAGTTTCTGCAAAAGCTTTGGGAACAGGAAAGCGTCATCTGGGTGATTGGCCAGCAAGTGGAGCTGCAGGACATGCACAATGTTCTCCTGCATGGCCTCGATGTGTGCCACGTTCACCAGGCCTGGTCGGTCTGAGTAACGAAGACAAACGATAGAGGTTACTCAGAAATGTAAGAACGTAGGTCAAACATTTTCTCTGCATCCTCACCTCCGCAGCAGATAATAGCAGCAACAAACAGAGCCAGGTCACTGTCGTCCAGCTCCAGCGCATTGAACTTCATGGCAAACTGGAACTTAGGCTCCATCATGTCACTGACAGGTCGCCTTAGGCTCTTGAGGAACTCCCGGGTGATGAACCCCGAGCCGTACGCAACAAGAAGCCCGTCTTTGTTCATGCAGGAGGCGAGCATGGCGAAGATGGCTTCATACACGCCGTACTTTAACAGAGTCACCTGATCGTTCAGGTCCAGGCTCGAGAACCCCGGGACGGACTTCGCAAACTCTGTGAGCTCCGTGACGGTTTCCACAGACGTGCATTGGCAGCAGTGGAAAATACGGACCTCCACCTCCCTGTCCTTCAGAGCTCCAGCTGAACCCACCATCTTAGCAACCAGTGTCTGCTCTGCCAGCTGAAGCGTCTCCATGTCATGGATGACAAACGGCTGCAGGTGAAGAAGACAAACATGTGAGTGATTGTACTCTGCAGCTGAAATGCCCCACAGCTGGTGCAATGAAAACAAGAACGATAACACAACCTACCCAACATCAGGACAATCTAAAAACAGAAACACACACACAGAAAACACTTCATACTCAAACTATGGGTCCTTTTACTGGTACACATGATGTAAACAGGCAAGATCTTTTTGACATCAGAGGCGACTGGTCTCGCTTTTACCAGCAAGACCACAGTTGACGAGACAAACAAGCTGATGAGCAGCAGTAGGGGTCCAGAAGTAGGTGGGCATGACTAGGCTCACTATTATCTATGCTTGGTCATGTCTGAGGCTGGAAGCTGGGTCCATCTTCAGGTTGCAATCCCCTTTTCCCCCACATGGTGTCAGTAATTCTCCAAAAATCCAATAATTTCAGGATCTGTTTTTACTCTACCATGAATTTTAATTCATGCTTGGCAGCTATGTAAAAAAAGAGGATGCAAAGCAGTAATAACCGTTATTTTTAAATGATCACAAACGATTCTCCCCCTTGAGTAAACTATGTGCCTCGGTGAGTCTTACCACAGTAAAACCAGTTAGGGCGGATGATCAAACCAGTGAATGCTGTGAGCTCATTTGAAGCCAATTATCTCTAATTCTTCTAACAAGGAACTAATGAGTCAAGTCTGATGACTACTCTTGATGGAGCGCTACGGCCTGTTTTAAACCAGCTATCTTTAAATCTGATCATTAACACATTAATTACAAAACAAATAATCTAAAAAATTATAATTTAATCAAATTTTTGGCCAAAAATTCATTTCATGAAATGTTCACAGCTGCATCAAACATAAATAAATAACCAGGAGGAGGAGTGGATCAAACGTGCACGTTTTCACTCCGTTCCTTCTTCTCCTGAGTCTTTGACCTCCAGAGGCGGAGAGCTCTGAGTGTGAACATGGATGTGCACTTGGACTGTTCTGTTGCTTCTGACCCATTTCACACCCACACTCATGGAACCTAAAGCGCCTCTGGACCGTGGTTTCTGACCCTCCGCCTCCTCCACCACCACCACCCCAGTAAAGAGGAAGTGAAATAACAGGAGAGAGGTAGCCTGGGAGCGAGTGATGAAAAGTGCATGGATGGAAACAGGTAGATCAGAGAGAAGTGATGTTTTTATCCACTTAACTACTTTACTGCCTTAAGTTACATTGTCGTCCAGCCAGTGCGCTGCATCACACTGCAGGCTGAGCAAGGCTCTTGTTGTCTGGCTGTATGTAATCTCTGTGGAATATTAGCTTGCTTGCAAATTTCTATTGTTATATGCAACGCACTGAAATGATCCCACTGGAACAAATAAATCAAATGTTACAAGAAAACCTGACTGTGGACTGTGAGGAAACACTGGCAGGAAGAACATGTATTCCTACCAATCCACAGACGTAATCCCACCCGTTCACTCACTAACCCGCCACTCTGAATCAACCTACGGGGGTGCTGGTCTTGCCCGTGAGAACGGTCCGAGCCTTGGCCTTGTTCATGCTGAAGTTCTTGAGGTAGGCATCATAAATCTGCCTGGCCAGAGTCTTCTGGTCTGCTAGCTGAGTGTTCACTACCTCCTTGTCCACCGTCACCATCTCCGCCTTGAGTTTTAGCTTCTCTGACTGGGGCATCCTACCAAACCGGATGGCTGTGAAGAGTGGGGTAAAAGTCAGAATGAGACAAGACTTTACTGCAGCATGGAAGATAAAGCAACACCAAAGAGTTTAAACACTTTGTGCTATTCATTTAACAGTGGGTTTCAGGAGGGGCCCTCTATCTGTATTATCACTTACCTGATGTTAGTATTAGCTCGTTGTTAGCGCTAGCTACGGCAGGATTGCAATCCCACTTTTAACCAGTAGGACGGGGAAGCAGGAAACTGTTTAGTGTCTCTTTAAAGCAGAGTGCAAAAAATAGTATACACTGTTAAGCTGGGGACACACTACATGACATGTTGCCAGACTTTAGCCAGGATTGACCGTTAGGCTAAATAAAGTACCAGTTGGGGACAGCCGCCATGGAGATTTTTTAGTGTTTGAGGGACAGAGTCACACAACCCTACAAGTTTGTAAGTAAATAAGTAAGTAAAAGTTTATTTATATAGCGCCTTTCACATATATAAATCACAAAGCGCTGTACAACATGAGTAAGATCAGGGCAAATACCTCTAACCAATAAAAACATCCGAAAAACAATAGCAGTGAAAAAATAGAAAATAAAATCATGAGTATAAACAAAGTGAAGGTGTGAATTCGAACAAAGCCATCTTTTAGAACATTTAGGGAGGGAAGGCCTGGATGAAAAGGTGAGTTTTTAGATGATTTTTAAAGACCTCTACAGTGTTAGAGAGACGGAGATTTGAAGGTAGACTGTTCCAAAGTCTGGGTGCAATAGTCTGAAAAGCCCTGTCCCCTTTGGTTTTCAGTCTGGCTCGAGGAACAGCCAGGAGGTTTTCAGATGTGGATCGGAGGTTCCGAGAGGTGGTGTGTGGGGATAAAAGCTCAGATAGGTAGCTTGGAGCCTGGTTGTTAAGAGCTCTATAGGTCAGGACTAAAACTTTAAACTGTATTCTATATTCTACCGGGAGCCATTGGAGGGACTGTAAAACTGGAGTGATGTGAGCTCGTCTGCTGGATTTGGTTAGGAGTCTGGCTGCTGCATTTTGGATGGCTTGAAGGCGTGAGAGGGAGGTTTTGCTCAGACCAGTAAAAAGAGCGTTACAGTAGTCTAAGCGTGTTGACACAAAGACATGGATGATTTTTTCCAGATCTGCAGTAGAAACCAGTTTACAGACTTTTGAAATGTTTCTCAATTGAAATAAACAAGAGCATGAGATGGTTTTGACGTGTGAGTCTAAACTTAAAGCTGGATCAAAAATAACTCCCAGGTTTCTAATGTTGGCCTTGGCTGACGGGCGAAAAGAGGCAATTTCTTGCTCGATTTTTGGCTGAAGTTCCGGGGGTGCAGCGATCAGGGTCTCTGTCTTGTTGGCATTGAGGACAAGAAAGTTGCTGGACAGCCAGTTACTGATCTGGGTCAGGCAAAGTACAAGGGTGGCCAGCCTGTCCAACTGGTGTGGCATAAAGGACATATAGAGCTGAATATCATCAGCGTAGATGTGGTAGGAGATGTCTGGGAAAGACTGAATAATGGGCTGTTTGTGAAGGGAAAAGACCTGACCTGACCTTAGATGCAGCCCGTAGTGATGTGACGCTCACAAACAAATCGAATTGGGGATGTCCAGATTCGATCGTGTGATCGGAAATCGGTCTCGATCACATGATTTCAGACTAATCGGGATCAGGCGTTACTTCTCGACTCAGACTCAGATACTGGGTTCAAATTACAGGAGAGCTAAGGGGAACCCGGTTCTCCAAACAAGACGACAGGCTCCTCTAGAAGCCCTCGACTTACACACCCAGAGGGAGCCCGAAAAAAGATCCAGTTTCTACCTATATAACATTATTTATATCATTATTTCGATCTCAGCGTAGTGTGGATTCTTTTGAGCGGAGAGGACGAGAGTGGCAGAGCACTGATTACTCATGCACTCCAGGCAGCTGCATCACGCACGCAGCCACAGTAACATTCTCAAAGCGGTGCCACCCAAAAAACATATAATTAACACACAATCGTTCATGTTCCTTCATTTTCTCTCTGGTGATTTTCTGTTGTATTTGTGTCCTAGTAAAAAAACAACAACAAGAAAACAAAACAAAGTCCTTGAAAAATGTAGGTAGATTTATCACCACTGCATTTTTTTTATTATTTTTTTTACTTTGATAAAGCAATAATTTATCAACATGTAATATTTATATATTTGATACAATTCAGATCACCTTCGTAGCTTAATCCCACACCCAGGGCCGTATCAAGACATGTTGGGGGCCAAGGCAAAATAGACCCCTGCCTGGTATTTTAAGTTAAGGTGTATTAAAACTTTTTAAATTTGCACTTAAGTCCAAAAATGAAGACTTTGTTGTTTATTATTCAACTGTTCAAGTTGCCTCACAGAAGGGCTCTGTTGACAGAATTGTTAAATAAAGTTAATTAAATAAAAAAATAAGGAACATTCTGGACCTGTTTCTTCACTTTCTTTATTATTTTTTTATGTATCGAAAGTATCGGATCGGGACTCGGTATCGGCAGATTCTCAAAATCAAATAACTCGGACTCGAGGGCAAAAAGCCTGATTGGGACCTCCCTAAATCAAATCAATGTCTCTCCGTTCGAACCGTTCATTTTTTTTATTGACTAAAGGCGCGTCATCATCGAGGAGGCAGGTGTTCGAGCAGCGTGCACTACACACGCCTGCTTTGTAGCAACTAGTTTCATTTAATGGCGAAACTAAACGAGCCACGGAAAGAACTCGAAGCAGCAGGGGGGACGGATTGGGAGAGGAGTGTGGGGGGATGGGTTGGAGGGGCAGCAATAGCCAGTCTTTTGAACGGCTCCTTCAAAGAGCCATATGCCTCGTCACTTACAGCCACGGTGATTATCAACCCAACAGCACTCAAGTGATATTATATATAAAAACACATAAATGACAACAATAAAGTTCACTTTGTTTCATGTGTCTAAGTGTAAATCTGATCCTGGAGGTGTACGGGCTCAACATTAGGTAAAAGTTATTCTGGTTAGTTTACACGTTTCAAACAGTTACTGGAATCTGGTTAATGAAATAAATCAATTATCAAAACAACTCCATTACAAATCAAATAGCTTCAGCCATAATCTTGGTCAGGCTGTTCTGTGGAGTCAAGTTCCTATGCTCTGGTTCGCTGGAGCACTGGCAATAAAATTCTCTCTGATTCTCTGATTCTGATAACAAAGCTCTAAGAGAGTTTTGAGACACTAAGCCTCAGCAAAGAAAAGCGATTCAAACAAAGTATTTTCCCACAAAAGGAACTTTCCAAGAGAGCAGTGTGGTTTCAACAGGTTTCAACCGGACTGTAGCAAAAAAAAAAAAAAAAAAAAAAATCCAAACATCCAGGCTAAAAATAGCACAAGCGAAAGGAGAAGATAAACAACCATGACCTTAGATTATCTTTTTTTCCCTGTTTTAAGGGACTGTGACGATCATTAGACGGTCGTGAAATATAAAATAATGCGCAGCATTAAAGACAAATGTACATCAGGGACATAGAGGGGATGCATATAGCATCTTAGACAGGTTGATCCTATTGGACTAATGATGATTAGTGGTGACGCGTCTTTAACCCCCCCACTGTAGTACCCAATAAGACCCAATGCAACATCTCCCTTTATGCTCATGTTAAGAGGGAACCCAGGGTCTTAATGGATTTAATGGGCACAATCTGGTGCACACACTCAATAACACACAGATATCATATGGAGAGCCCAACACTCAGCTGCAACTCGACTTTATGGGATCATAAAAAAGTGTAAAGGAGGATTTAATTTCCTTTTTTTCTAATAAACTCATGAGCCAAATCTGAGCAGGGAGTTAGCATGCTGCTCATTAGATTACTGCTCACTATGTGGAACGAGATGATCCAAAGATGCCTAGGCAGGAGTCGAGTCTAATTAAGATGTGTGGAAGTGATGGATGTTAAGCTCGGCATAAGGCCACTTCCTGAGAGCCGATACAACAGATAAGTGTGTGAGGCAGTGAGTACGCGAGCTAAATGTGTTTGGGAGGCAGTCTGTTGAATCATCTGTTTCTGTGGTTTATCTTGTTAGTGCACGAGACGTGAGCTTCTATTAGGAATTAGCAGACCTTCAGCCACTAGAGGTGAAAATAAGATAAACAGGCGTGTTTGTTTTAGTCAATCAACTGAACTTTGAAGAGAAACATTGATAAATGTTGATTAGGTTGTTAGCTAAACCCGGTATGCATGTTTAACTGTGAGACCAATCCCAAGTCTATAATCTCCAAAATTAGCAGTGCTGTGGTCTTGGACCTCGGAGAATCATGTTGCACTCATCTCAAATGACTCTCCTCCCTCTCTACTATTACATTTCTATCCATGAAAGCTAATACATACGCTGAGATGAAGCACAGCTGAAAGAAATACGAAGGCAGCACCACCACCGGTAGAAGATATTTATATATTTTTTATAAATATTTATTTCATTTATTATTTAAATAGAAAAAAAAACTATACTAACAGTAAAATGAGGTTTCTCAAACCAAGAAACAGAAAGAAGAAAACTTATGTTATCTGCCCCTTTTTAACTAAAATGACATTTATACACTGAAATAACACTAATTATAAATTAGCCTATACAAAGTAATTGCTTGACTGGTTAGCTAACTAGAGTTCAAACCAGAGTGCACCCTCCCAACTTTTCATCCTCAAGAGCTCATATTGTGTCCATGTGCAGTGAAATGGTAAATGGCCTAGTATTTGTATAGAGCTCCGGGAGTTGACGTCACTTCTCCCGGCATGCAACAGTTCAAATCGAAACGGCGCCATATTGGCATGCAGAAGCCCGCAGCTGGTCTATTTGTTATTGTCAGAAAACTCAATCAAACGGGAAATATGGTAGATTCCTGTTGTGCCCCAGGATGCAGAACAGACGCGGACAACATAAGGACTGAGCCATCTACAGGATTCCCCAAGATCCGGAGCGCTGCAAACGTTGGATCATTGTAATAAAACGTGCTAGTGACTGGGCTAAAATGAAACTGTGGGACCCCGAGAGTAAAGGTTTTCGCTTATGCAGCGACCACTTCATATCAGGTACTTAAACCAATGTTTCCTCAACTGTGTATGGTGTTTATTTTAAATGCTTTTATTACGATTCTTAGTGGGCTTCCTAAACTTATTTTGGTGTGGCTTTTTCTGTCTTATTACTCATAGCAACAAGTAAACGTCACGTAAAACGTTGCCTCGTGATTTCTGCATGCTGCCGTTTCCGTGTTTTATGATCACAGCAATTAACCGGCTAAGCTGTATTTAATTTTTAAGCAATGGTTGATCAATTGTCAGATCACACATAAAAAGCACTTTGGATTGCTATTATCTGTCTCACCGAGACAGATCTCAGACAGATCCTGAGACGCTCCTGCCTGACATTTTTATTTTATTCACGGAAAAAAATCAGACTAGTGATTTCTCTTGGCGTTCAGTTTATACATTCAAACAGCACAGCACTTTATTTAAACTACTTACATGTAAAGCTGTTATTTGTCCATCCATTTTCATCCGCTTATCCGGAGTCAGGTTACGGGGGCAGTAGTGTCGAGAGGCCCAGACTTCCCTCTCCCCAGCCACCTGGGCCAGCTCGTCCGGGGAAATCCCAAGGGGTTCCCCGGCCAGGTCCGGTAAGAAGTCCGCTCTGACAACTTCTGGCATTTTTAAAAAGTATCCCAGGGGTACGGTAACGGTCGGAGATGTTTAGTCTATTTAATTTCTGACTATATAAAACAATTTCTTCGGTTTTAAAGTGAAGTAAACTCCGACGAAGTAAAATCCCGATCCCGTTCATGTCCATGTTTATGATCCGTGTTTGTTTATGTTTTTTGCCTGCCAATATGGCTTCTACTAACTGAGAGTCACGTGGGGTCCGTGGGACTCGCGCTGCTGCGAACCGGTTCCACTGTCACATTCCCGCAGAAACTGGTTGATCACACTGGGGCCAGACTACTAGCATGTGGCTTTACAACCACAATGTCCTTGGAATCAAAAACGCTTTTAAAAGGGAGGGAGGAGTCCTAACTGTTGCTGCAGGCGTGTTGTGTGAGAGTGCAATTATATACTGGTTAATATATTTTTGGGTTCAGTTGCTTTCATGTGGCCTAATGTGAGTCTATTTGGGATCACTGGAATGATCAGCAGCATTTCTTGATGTGACTTTATGGCAGTTGCCCAGGGCATCATCACAAGGAGAATGGCATTCATTTACTTTTGTTTTATTTGGTATTTTTTCAGTCATTTTTGGAAATAGTGATTATTTTTGATTAATTCACAGCCTATGTTTACATTTACATTTAAAAATGAGTTGTTTGACATCCCCAATTATAATAAATGTCTACAGATGAGATCAAACAAAACAGATGAGAATTGCCCTTAAAGAGCAAGTCACCCCCAAATAAACTTTTTTTTGCTGATAAACTAAATAAACGAGTGTGTAATCGTGCTGCAGACACGTGTCGTCAATAATTTGGCACTTCAGTGCATCTTAGTTAAAATTTAAATATTCTGCCTAAAACTGGCAGCGTTGTGCTGTTGTCAGGTAAAAACTCTGCACTTAAATGCATTTAAATCTGCCACCGCTATTGGCTAAGAAGTATGCTATGATGTAAACTGGTACATTATGATGTCACAATGCTGTCGTGAGTCTGAGTGTGTTTGTTAGCGGCTCCGCCCTCTCGGTCTGCCAGGCAACAGCATGTGTTGCATTTTTCAAACATGAAGTGGGAGTGGAGTTAGACTCTGGTAAGGGTTGACGTGCTCTTTAAGCTGTTTAACTTGGACCAAGCATTTTAGGTCACAGATAGGTGTAGCTTAGGGTCTCTGTCTATACACCTTATAAGACAATTTAGGTGATGGCATGTTGTTTTTCTGCTATTGAACTGTTTTCTAATAATGTTGTGTTTAATAAAGTGAAGGAAGGAGAAAAATAACGTTTCCCTAGCAATTTTTAAAAATGTCCCTATGTAATCCGATTAATCGTGTCGAGACCCCATCCGATTCATCGATTATCCAAATAATCGTTTGTTGCAGCCCTACTCTATAGCACCTTGTTAGGGCTCTAAAACCCCCCAAGGCGCTTCACAACACAATCAGTCATCCACCCATTCACACACACATTCACACACTGGTGGGAATGAGCCATGATGTAGCTACAGCTGCCCTGGCCCAAGGACACAACAGCAGCATTCTCTAGTCAGAGCCGGGATCAAACCTGCAACCTTCCGTTTACTGGACAACCCGCTCTACCTCCTGAGTAGTGTTGTGAGGAACTATCTTTAGATGAATCAAGCAGCTTCTGAAACGTGAGCAGAGGAAGAAGCTGTCCAGTTCTGAGAAGGATCCAGCTTGCTATCTCCGGATAAGAGATTTGCCTCGACAGAGGCTGCACTTAAACACAGTCATTTCTCCTCTAACTAATGTTTCAGAAAATTGTTACACAAACTGTTACAGCTACATTATGACCAACTTTGCTCAAAACATAGGAAATTGATTTTGAATCTTAGGATAAATAGAGGGGCTACATTGTAGCACTGTTGTCTTACAACGTGAAGGTCGCAGGTTTGATTCCCACTGTGGACTTTCTACATAAGGATGTGTTCTCAACCTTGCCAAAGAGGGTTTTCTCTGCTTACTCTGGCTTCCTCCTACACATCCAAATCATGCTCGTCAGACTGATTGAAGACTTTAAATTGTCCTTAGGTATCACTGAGTGATTGATTGTCGCTGTGATGGACTGGTGACCTGTCTAAGGTGTCCTCTCTCCCTGATGACTGCTGGAGATAGGCAACAGCTACTCTATAAGCAGTTCAGATGGATGGATGTACAAATAGATAGAGGAACATAAATCACTGATAATCAGAAAAAATAAACATGTTGGGAATTTTAGGTCACTGATTATTTTTTCTTTGGACTATTGTAAACATTCTGGTTTGGTTTTAGCCTTTAGAAATAAGCCTACCTGACTTTAAAATGCACAATCACAACAAACATAACACTATGTTGTATTTGGTTTCGTATAATCCCACACTTCATTAGCTTCTGTTTTCCTGAAGAACAAGCACCTTGGCTTTGCATGTTTTTGAGTGTTTGCGCATGCACTCTACAGGACTCACCGTTGTGGGACATGCCCACGGCCAGGCACTTCTGGAATCTGCAGTATTGGCACTTATTGCGGTTCTTTTTTTGTATCTTGCAATGGCGCTCACACTTGTCATACTCCAACTTCAGACGTATGGTCCGCCGAAAGAAACCCTGAAGGAACAAGGAAAGTGGAAAATTATGATTTTCTAGTCAGAAGTTAAATATTCCTTGAAAAGCCCTCAAACAGGGTAAAACAAATAATGTATTTAACAGCTCTTTTAGACAAGCAGGTTTTTGTTCACATTTGAAGGGTGAGTAACACTTTCCAACACACTGTTTCAATATAAATGTCTCCCTGTTTACATGGCCTCAACAAAAAGTAACTTTTGGGAGGAAGAGAAAGGCCAGAAAGCATATCTGTGTTTCTCTGTAAGGTGGAAAATGGCCAGAGGAAAAGGTTACTTACCTTCATCATGTTGGTTGTTTTGTATTTGAATTACACGGGAAGATTACTAACAAGTCACCCACCTAGGGGGCGGGCACCTTACCTATAAGAACCAACCCGAATGGCCAAATGAGTGAAGGACTCCATTTGATTTGTCAAAAACTTCATGCTTCCGTTTGACTGACAAAAATCCATTATGTGTAGCAAACATTTGAGCTCACCATCCATTGCATTTTTTTTCTGTTCATGTGCGATATGCGTATTGCGCATGCTGTAATCACCATGACGATACATTTGCGATTAGTTAAATGTCCTGCTCAAGGACACAATGGCAGCAACACACTGAGCAGAGCCTGGAGTTCAAGTCAAGTCCTAAGTATTTGAGGTCCAAGTTTTAAACAATCTCAAATTTTGAGAAGAAATTCCTAACCAGGTCATCTGTATTTTACATTTTTAAGCCGGGTGTACACTGCGTGACTTTTTTGTGTTTAATCAGCGTTGTTGCAGCTCTTCTCTTAGAGCACATGAACTCCAAAAACTAAATGGCTAGCCTAAAAATCAAGGCAAATCATAGCAGCAGCAATAGATCGGCCTGCCCTGAAGTGGGCGGTTGCGGGCGGGCCTGGCAGCTAGACGTTATGATGAGCGCCTTGAATGGCAGCTCTGGTGGTCTGCCTGGATCTGTTTTGTTCTACATGTGTTGTGTGTGTAACCTTGGTCAAGCTGTAACGCGGAGACAAATTTCTATGCTTCAGGACGCTCGGGCACTGACAATAAAGTTGATTCTGATTAACTCCTGGGCCTCATGTGCGGCAGCTGGTTGGCCCCCCCAGGGGTAATCCTCTGGAAGAGGGTTGGGGCTTTTCCAGCAGCAGTCTCACTGGAGTCTCTGCGCTCCAGGGGAGACCCCATACTCACCGCTGAACACTCCAATAGAGAAACCTTACACACACAAGTGCGTGTACACACACAGGTGCTCACATGGTGCTCTCACAAGTGTGGACTCAGGCATTTTTAACACATAAGCTAAAGCTGTGGTTGGCACTAAATGCACTATAAATTATTACTGTGTGCCTTTCAGCAAAAATTACTACTGTTTTTATCCTTATGCCGTTGGCACAGTGCCATGTTGGTTCTGTTGTATTTCTGTGTTCCCCTTTTTTTCTGTTTTTTTCTGCAGGTCTAGAAGCAGATTCTTGTACATCATTTATTGTTCATTTTTATGACATAACTTCACATCATTCATAGTTTTGATGCTGTCAGTGAGAATCTACCAATGTAAATGGTCATGAAAATAAAGAAAACACATTGGATGAGGAGGTGTGTCCAAACTTTTGGCCTGCACTATATATATATATATATATATATATATATACTCAACAAAAATATAAATGCAACACCTTTGTTTCTGCTCCGATTTTTCATGAGATGGACTTAAAGATCTAAAATTCATTCCAGATACACAATATTACCATTTATCTCAAACATTGTTCACAAATCAGTCTAAATGTGTGATAGTGAGCACCTGTGCTTTGCTGAGATAATCCATCCCACCTCACAGGTGTGCCACATCAAGATGCTGCTCTGACATCATGAGTAGTGCACAGGTGTACCTTATACTGCCCACAATAAAAGGTCACCCTGGAATGCGCAGTCTTTTGCTTTATTGGGGGTCTGGGGAGTCAGAACCGGTCAGTATCTGGTGTGACCACCATTTGCCTCATGCAGTGCAACACATCTTCTTCACATAGCGTTTATCAGATTGTCAATTATGGCCTGTGGAATGTTGTTGTACTCCTCTTCAATGGCTGTGCGAAGTTGTTGGATATTAGTGAGAACTGGTACACACTGTCGTATACACCGGTCAAGCACATCCCAAACATGCTCAATGGGTGACATGTCCGGTGAGTATGCTGGCCATGCAAGAACTGGGACATTTTCAGCTTCCAAGAATTGTGTACAGATCCTTGCAACATGGAGCTGTGATGTAAACCGAGATTCATCCGTGAAGAGAACACCTCTCCAACGTGCCAGACGCCATCGAACGTGAGCATTTGCCCACTCAAGTCTGTTACGGCGACGAGCTGGAGTCAGGTCAAGACCCCGATGAGGACGACAGCATGCAGTTGAGCTTCCCTGAGACGGTTTCTGACAGTTTGTGCAGAAATTGTTTGGTTATGCAAACCAATTGTTTCAGCAGCTGTCTGAGTGGCTGGTCTCAGACGATCTTGGAGGTGAACCTGCTGGATGTGGAGGTCTTGGGCTGGTGTGGTTACAAGTCATCTGCGGTTGTGAGGCCGGTTGAATGTACTGCCATATTCTCTGAAAATCCTTTGGAGACGGCTTATGGTGGAGAAATAGACATTCAATGCACGAGCAACAAATCTGGTTGACATTCCTGCTGTCAGCAAGCCAATTGCACGCTCCCTCAATGCTTGTGGCATCTGTGGCATTTTGCTGTGAGACAAAACTACACATTCCAGGGTGGCCTTTTATTGTGGGCAGTATAAGGTACACCTGTGCATTACTCATGATGTCGGATCAGCATCTTGATGTGGCACACCTGTGAGGTGGGATGGATTATCTCAGCAAAGCAGAAGTGCTCACTATCACACATTTAGACTGATTTGTGAACAATGTTTGAGAGAAATGGTAATATTGTGTATCTGGAATGAATTTTAGAACTTTAAGTCCATCTCGATGCGTTGCCAGGCTACTAAACATAAGAAATGGACCCAGAAGAAGAGGCTTACACTAAAACAAGTGTATATGAAAAATCCCTTCACAAGCACCTTTTCCCTGAATATGTTTGATCTTCTTGCAGACATTTCTTTTAACTTGTAAATTACTCACATTTTATTGGTGCAACAATGTAGTAAACATGCAGTGTGGTATTAGTTGTGCCACCAGCAGTAGCAGCCCAGTGGGATCGGGGTTTAACACCAAGGACTACAATAAAACACTAATCACCTGAGAGTTAACAAGGTGCTGTTAAAACTTAACAAACCCATAGCAGAGGTCATAGCTAATGATCTACATTGGTTATGCTCAGCTATATGGCCCTGCTGATTTAATATGCTGGGCTTTCTACAGCCCTGTGGCCCTAACAATACACATCTCACACCACTCCGCCCTGTGGCACATGGGTCTCAGATGCATGGGTCACATTATTCATTTATCTATTATAACATCAATAAAGATAAGTTTATTCAACAGCTGCTCTCCTCCTAAAGCTGGAACTTAAACTGAATTTGTGCATCATGTGTTGAAATTAAAATCCCTCATGCAAGTAAAACTTGTACAAAGACAGAAGAACAGCGATGCAGCAACATACGTTTACAATGTTGCTATCTTTGTCCTTTGACACCTCTTGAACACTGCCTTGGGTTATTCTTCAATGTAACTAGTGAACAATTAACCAAAGGACTATTGAGCGGCCATGTGCCAAGGCACAGTCTTGATATTTTAGAAGTTATCAAAACTCAAATCACAAGACACACTACCTCTGGATTCAGCACAGCTGGGTCCTACTTCCTCAGCCGTCAAAGTCCAAATTTTATTTATAGCTCTGAACGAGTTTGATTGGCAGGTTGTTTGGAATTCTTGGCTGGTTGGTGTGTAACTGAGGGTCATTTGAGGGGAACACAGACTATTAATACAAACAAAAGTGCAAGGCAAAGTGAAAGTGTCCAGCCGGCTCAGACTCACAAGCATCTAACATGAAGATAGAGCAACATTACCTTGCAGCCTTCACAAGCATGAACTCCATAGTGGTAGCCTGAGGCGCGGTCAGCACACACTCGACACTCCAGATTGAGTGATGACGAGAAAGATAAGAGCTCTTCCTGGTTTGCCGCTGCCCCATAAATGACAGAGGATGGGCTTGATGCTGGTGTTAGGGCATCTAAAAAACAAGAGCATAAAACTTAAACATATATTATGAAACAAACTTTACAAAGGTACATATCTGTGGAATTAGCTAGAGCCTGAAAAATCTTAATACGACCCGCAGACAAAGTCCAAATGATGATTGAACCACATCCATGCTTTAAGGTTGGAGAGCTATTCCTTTAAAGATATTGTGTACATTTTTGATTGGGGCTGGTTAGATTCATGTTCTTTCAAGCATGCGGAAGAATTTTGAAGAAAAGAGGGAGGAAACGTTTTCTACTACAGAAATCTCATCAAATTAAATTAGTTGAGTTGAGTAGTGTTTAATTCTGGTCCTTGAGAGCCACCATTCTGAATGTTGTAGCTGTTCCTCTGCTCAAACACACCTAATCCAATGGTTGAATTACCTCCTTAATATGTCCTAAAGTTCTTCAAAAGCCCATTAATCACTCAGTGAATCAAATCAGGTACGTTTAAGCAGAAAAAATGAAGGATAGTGGAGAAGGACCTGTGAACAGGTCAAAGGTTTAATGATGAGGTTGCCAGCAGTTTCCTATTTCAAACATGTGAGAGGAACATGGTTGGTAGAACTTCCTCGGTACGTGAACAGTACAAACCAAGCGGTACAAAGCAGTGGCACTAAGTGAAGCCACATGAGTTTGGGTGAGCGGTGCCAGGACAGGGATAAGAAGCATTTGGCAGGGAGTTGTGTTCCTGACTCGCATCAATAAATCCACATGCTTCCTCTCGACTCCCACCATCCCTGCACAAGTACACAACCATTACCCCCCTTCCAACCGACTCTTCCATGACATCATCAAACATTTCAGTCATTCCTTCCACTGCCTTCTCTGTCTTCTTTGTCATTCAACCATCTTTGCAATACTCACAAATTATATGCTTTAATTTTATTGAAGATGTTTGCAAAAGCTTAGACTTTCCAGACCAATGTTTCCAGAGAGGACGTGCAAAGTAGCTCAGGAATGTGTGGATTCCTCACTAAATATGGGGCAGGGAGACGGAATAGTAGGAGAAACTGGGGGTGGAGAAGACAACAGGGTCTCACTGTAAAATCAGAAATGAATTGGAAATCCCAACAATAATGAACAGAAATGGGGCCAGGAAAGTGAATGAAGTTGTAAATTGGAAACTTTCTGATAAATCAAAACATTATTTAGTCCTGAGGAAGTGGGTCAGCATGGGAATCTGATTGAAGAAAAGGTTGTTGGGGTATTGTCGCATTTGTTTAGACAATGTCAAAATAGCCAAAGTGTATGTTCTGGTTGGAGCAAAGACGGATTAAGGGGCTTAATTATGCACCCCCTGTTCCAACAACAACAGCAATGCGATTACATTGAACTGTTTAGGACATTGTGAAAATGTAAAATATGACTGTTGGACCAAAGTAAACATCTTTAATATCATTGACCTGGAATAAATAAAAGCTTCCGTTACCTAGGACAGTGGAACCTTCTGATCCATTGTTGGAAGACTGGTATTCCGGAACATCAAAGGAACTGAGGTCATCCTCTTCAATGGACTGGGGTATGACCTGGAGCTCTTCCATGCTACCCATGAAATTGTCCTCACCACACAGAGGGTCATCTAGCACCGAGTCTTCCAGGGGAGATGGCAGGTGGTAGCGGCTCTCCGTGTCAACCATTTTGATGGAGGAGGAGGCTGGCGGCACTGTCGCTCATTAGACTGTATGAAGATCAGAAACAAGGGAAAGATTGAGGAAAAATTGTCAATTTCAATTCAGTTTGTTTATATAGGGCCAAATCACGACAAGAGTTTTCCCAAGGCACTTATCAAGGTAACATTCCAATACAGTTCAGAGTCCAGAGAACCGATAGAGCAACACATCCTGGAATAAAAATAAAGACTAAGAGGAATAATAATGATTTTTGAGTTTTACCATTTTCATTCAGAGGGTTGTAAAATGAGCTTTAATTTTAAAAATATCATCAAAGTTCTGATTTCCCAAACCTTTGAGATTTCTTTCCAAAATCCTTGGCCCCTAAAAAAGACTCAATGTGTAGTTAAAATATCTCCCTATAAAAAGGAACACCCCATTTGAGAAGCTAGGAACCATGGCAACAAGTGTGCAGTTGTAACGTGTATTTTTCAACTTAATGTTTTATTTATAAATACTAAATCTAACAGCTTATATATGAAAAAATAGCTGTTTTTACAAAACTATGCCGTCAATTTACCGCAATGCCGTGGTGGCATCAGGGAGCCACAGGTCATAGGTAATGTGGCTCAATAGTGTCCTTTTTTAAAAAGATTACACAATGGCGGTAAAAAGGTAAGGGGGCAGTCCCTGCGCTGCCGCAGACTTCCGTTTATCTTGGGCATGCCTTGTTTTATATTGCGATCTAAGCCGCACTCATTAAGTATTTTTAACAAGCCGTTCCTAAAGGTGTCTATCCACCTCTCTGTTGATCAGAGCTCCAGCTCTAACGGAGATAAGCTCCTGGAGCGCTGCATCACTTAAGGTTGCCATCTCAGCTGATTCTGTTTACAAAAGCAAAACTTACGTCCTGTTTTTACTTTTGTTTTCAACATAGTTGCCAGTCAGAGCTCGGCAGTAACTTCCCACGTGATCAGGACACCTCTCTCTGTTGTGCCAAGGCGCAATTGCTGTTTATCAGACAGACAATTACCACAATATTACTACCAAGCCAGGTGGAACGAATACTGCAAAAGTTGCCATGCCAGACACACCATTGCAGTAATATTTTGCTTATTTGAGTGTGCCATGAAAAAGGGCTGATGTACTGTATTTGTTAACTGTTTGAAAGATAATATACAAATTGAATTAATTAAATTTATTTAAAAAAAGTTTGAGTGTCCCAATGATCCTAGGAGCTGAGTTGTCTGACGTTTTATGCCTCTGGTAGGGTCACCCATGGCAAACAGGTTCTATGTAAGGGATCAGACAAAGAGCAGCCCAAAGACCCTTTATGATGAAAAATATTCATGGAGACAGTGTTCCCTTGCCCAGATGCGGATCATCACACCATGATCACACATAAAGATGTCCATATGTGCTCTTGGCACCAGGATACCTTAGGCCGCAGCTCGATGATCAACTTTGTCATAGATTTGTCTGATTTGCGGCTGCATATCTTGGTTACTTGGGTGAAGAGAGGGACAGAGCTGTCAATTGACCACTACTTGGTGATGAGTTGGCTCCAATGTGGGGGAGGAGCCGGTCAGACAGGCCTAAATGTTATGTAAGGGTCTGCTGGCAACGTCTGGCAGAGACTCCTGTCAGAAGGAGCTTCAATTCCCACCTCTGACAGAACTTCCAAAACATTCTGGGGGAGGCGGGTGACACTGAGTCCGAATGGGCCCTGTTGTGTGCCTCCATTGTTGAAGCGACTGACCAGAGCTGTGGCTGCAGGGTCGTCGGCGCCCGTCATGGCGGCAACCCCTGAACCTGCTGGTGAACACCAGCAGTTAGGGATGCTGTCAAGCTAAAGAAAGAGTCTTATCAGGTCTTTTTGGCCTGTGGGACTCCAGAGGCAGCTGACAGGTACTGGAACTCCAAGCGGAATGCAGCTCAGGTGGTCGCGGAGACAAATACTCGGGCATGGGAAGAGTTTGGTTAGACTATGGAGCAAGACTTCCACACGGCTTTGAAGAGATTCTGGTCCACACTCCGGTGCCTCATGAGGGGGAAGCAGTGCGCTACATCACTGTTTATAGTAGGGAAGGTGTGCTGCTGATCTCTACCCGAGACATTGTGGATTGGTGGGAGGAATACTTTGAAGACCTTCTCAATCCCACCGGCAGATCTTCTGGTGAGGAAGCAGAGCCTGAGGACTTTGGTTTGGACTCTTCAATGTTTGGGGCTTAGGTCACTGAGGTAGTCAAAAAGCTCCTCTGTGGCAAGGCTCCAGGGGTAAATGAGATCCACCCGGAGTTCCTTAAGGCTCTGCATGTCATAGGGCTGTGTTGGTTGACGTCTGCAATATTGCATGGACATCGAGGGCAGTTCCACTGGATTGGCAGACTGGGGTGGTGCTCCCCCTATTTAAAAAGGAGGACTGCAGGGTGTGTTCCAACTACAGGGGGATCACACACCTGTGCCTCCCTGGTAAAGTCTTTTAGGGGTTTTGGACAGGAGGGTCTGTCGGATTGTTGAACCTCGGATTCAGGAGGAGCAATGTTGTTTTCGTCCTGTCCAAGGAGCACTGGACCAGCTCTATAACATTAGGGAAGTCCTGGAGGGCACGTGGGAGTTCGCCCAACCAGTCTACATGTGTATTGTGGATTTGGAGAAGGCGTTTGACCGCGCCCCTTGTGGAGCACTGTGTACTCCGGGTGTATGGGGTACCAGGCCCTCTGATAAGGGCTGTTAGGTCCCTGTATGACCGGTGTCAGAGCTTGGTCCGCATTGCCAGCAGTAAGTCGGGTTCTTTCCCAGTGAGAGTTGGACTCCACCAAGGCTGTCCCTTGTCACCGATTCTGTTCCTATCTTTTACAGACAGGATTTCTTGGCACAGCCAAGGTGTTGATGGGATCTGTTTTGGTGGCCTGAGGATCAGGTCTCTGCTTTTTGTCCTGCTGGCTTCATCAGAAAGTGATCTTCTGCTTTAGCTGGAGCGGTTGGTAGCAGATTTGTCACGGGCTGTTTTCATTCTCACCATGTTTTTAGGTCTAACCCCGGGTTTTCACGGGAGCCGTCAGCAGCACGTTACTGCAGCAGCACGTCTTGCTCGCGTAAGCTGCTGCTTGGCCCTTCCCACGAGACGCGAAGCAGCAGGGGAGCAGCTGTCACCGACCGAGCAAGAAGTCACACGAGTGACTTCGTCAGTAAACACAACAACAAGCAGGAGAAAATTACAACATGGTTTGTGTTTTATGTTCTGTCCATTTTATAATCGCTAATACGGACCTGAAAAACAAAGGAGACCGCTAGCTATGTGATAACTTCTCACGGGGCCGCACAGTTAGTAACCTTTTTTAAAAGTAAAGCAACTGGAAGGCAGTACGTTCTTTATTCTGAAAATCTCGGGAGCTTCTCTCCATTTCCACGTCCGATTTCCTGTCTTTCCTTCCCCAAAAATGTCGAACTTGACCCGTTTCAGAGGCGTCGCGCGTAGAAAATAGAACCGGCGCTTAAAGGCTGCGACATGCTGCTCCTGAGACGCGGCCGACTCGCGCTGCTGACGGCTGCTGACGGCTCCAGTGGAAAAGGTTCTGTTGACCACAGCGGTTCCAATCAGCAGCTATGACGTGCTGCTGCAGTAAAGTGTTGCTGACGGCTCCTGTGGAAAGCTGGGGTAAGAGTCTGCAGGTGGGGGTGTCTGGAGAGCAGGAGCAACAGCCAGCTGCAGCTCATCTCCAATCATCCTCCAGGGTGTATTTAAGGAGCTGACTTCCTCAACACTCTTGCCGGATGATTACTCAACCTGGGTAGCTCGAGCCAGATTAAAGATTTATTGTCAAGCTAAGATTAAGACTTAGACTAAGAAATGTTTGTGTGAAGCAGATTTCTAACAGACTAGGACCAAGATTAATCCTTCCTCTTATCCCTTCAAGGAACCATCTCCTCCAGCCATCTCCAAGAACTTCTCATCAGCTCCAACCCCTGGCTGTACGCTCTCCACTACGCCCCTACCGCCTACTCTTTCAAGCTCACCACACAGGAACTCTGGACCTCGTCTTCATCAAGACCCCTTTTGCAACCCATCTTCACAGACCAACCAGTGCTCCTTCGCATGCCCTCTAGCCACCTCCTTACAGTAAGCCTAAACCTTCAGTTATCCATCCCATCATCTCTCACGGATATTAACCTTTGTCTCTCCTTTAGAACATCCTGGCACATCCTGCATCAGTTTGAGCAGTGCTTTGAGTTCTCCATTCTAAAATAAATTATTTATTTTCTCACCTCCCTGTTCCCGTCTCTGATTCTGCATGCCGTGGGTCAAAAGAATACCACAAAACATGACAGGATTGTGAAGCAGCTGGGATGAGAATCAGCTCCTCTAAATCTGAGACCATGGTCTTTAGTTGGAAAAGGGTAGAATGACTTCTCCAGGTCAGGTATGAGGCCCTGCCCTAAGTGGAGGAGTTTAAGTATTTCAGGTTCTTGTTCACAAGTGAGGGAATGCTGGCGCACAAGATCGATAGGCGGATTGGTGCTGAGTCTGCAGTGATGTGGGCATTGTACCGATCTTGTCTCTGCATGGGTTCTGGGCTCTCCCTTAGAGATAGGGTGAGAAACTCGTTCATCCGGGAGAGACTCGGAGTAGATCTGCTGCTTCTCCACATCGAGAGGAGCCAGTTGAGGTGGCTCGGGCATCTGATTAGGATGCCTCCTGGACCCCTGGACTTTATTTCGCCTTGTGGCTTAGCTCTCTTTTTGCAATGACAGTCTGGTACAATGCCTGCTTCGCTGCAGATGCAGCACCAATCTGCCTATCAATCTCGCGCTCCGGCTTTTCCTCACTCGTGAAACAGGACATTTTTTGTCTTTTGATTTTTAATCCCCCAAGAAACACCACAGCTCTCCCACCTAGTGACAAATTTTTTCCTGAGACCTGTGATCTTTGAATTGTGTTTCCCAAATCAATTATTATAAATCACGCAAAAAACTGATTTTAATACTGATATGCTGGTGGTCTTTCCAAAATCAAGTCAGTCCATGATCGGAAACAAGCAGAAATATACTACACCTAGAAGATCAG